TTCCTGTGGCTCACAACCCAATCAAGCACTGCCTGTATTTCACATGCCAGGTTATTATCACGTCATAAATCAACGAAGCTCCCAATAAATTTCTATTTCATTCCATTGGATTGTACTAACATCCCCGCATATAGTCATTACAGAAAAGCAAAAGGCCAAATAGTTTGGAATTAGGTCGAAACTGCATATAATGTTATCACAAATAATGAGTTGTAAGTCTTAAAACTTAACTTGAGTGACAATTTCTGATATGAAATGAAGTCATATAGTGCATAGGATGTCAAGCTCAAAACAACCAGCTCTTTCAGCTCACTTTTATTCTCAGGTTTCAATATGGAAACCTCCATAATACATAATTATATACAGTATGTGTTACTGTAAATGCATGTTCTTTGTCAATGAAATGTTATGCTGTATCAGACCAGACATTATCAGCATCCATTTGAATTGTTTGTTTGTTACTGTATATCTGATTTCCAAATTTGATTTGCCTTTCAGAGGTTTTTGTACTTTTGATATCTGTCTGTTGAAATAACACTGACATTTGGAACAGCTTCCAAAATTTGCCAAAACGTTTGAAGAAATTAGTTATTATATGAGGAAATTTGGGAATACCAAGATTTAAGCTTGATTCTTTTGTAGAATCAAATATTAGAATGTTGGAACATAATGGCTTTATCGTTTGGTTAAAATATTTTAAAGTCATATTTAATAGTAATATCCAAATATTTTAAATAATGAATCTTTGTTCCTGGGAAAAAGCTTTAAATGCAAAATTGTGCTAGATCTCTCCTTAATCGCCAATGTTTCGTATAAATGACATAATCAATTAAAAGATCAATTTTGGCTTATAGTAGTGTGCTCTCTATATACTTAACCAGAAACCCAGAGGCACTGCAAGGTGGTTATGGCTGCTTGCACTCAGAATTCGCCAAGAAGAATCATTCTAGGTGTAAAACTGAGTGCCTGCTTGTCATTGATTGTTAACTCCTGGATCCACATCCCCAAAGGAATTGATGGTTCCTTCCACACCAAGTGTATTAAATTTGACAGCTAATATACCTTCAAGGTTTGTTTATTAGATCTGTGATTGAAAAGGTAAAAAGTGGCAATGTATCCTCCTCTAAATGTGGCTTAAATGAAGTAATAATGTTTGTCAATGACACAGCTACAAAAGAAATTAAATGATTGCTAGAGTTTAAAGAAACACTCTAAGCCCATGTGTAATATTTAATAGGAAATGAAAATGAGACAAAAGCATTTTAAAATCAATAACATTATGTGTGCCAGCAAACTATCATATCTACAGTATAAAGAAAGAAAGGTCTGTTACTTCATAAACCAGAAATAACTACACTCCTACAGAATATGGTCATTTTCTTGTAAGCTTCTTTCCTCTTCTCCTAAGGTTATGACCACCAGCAGAAAGCAATATTAGATGTCAGTTATTTCCAAACTTCATCTTGTCCTGTGATTCTCAAAATGTTGTTAACTCATCAGTTAAACGAACCTGCTATAGTCCAAGTCTCAACTTGCACAAGAAACACACACAGATGTTTATCAGTCCAATGATGCTTTGGCAGATAATGGACAGAGACCACAACTGTTCTGGCATAGAATATAGCTGATTCACAAATGCTTTGCATTGAAACAGAACTTACAGTGCCTGTAAGTAGGGTACAGTGCTGTGGTGGCCAGCTGACATGTTTTGAGTCACAGTTTGGACCACAAGCCCGTTGTTTGCTGGTGTTGTTCAACATGGCTGACCGTGCCTTTGAAGTTTTAAACATCTGCAGTATTTTGGAAAAGCTGCCAAAGCCTCTGGATCACACTTTGGCTGACACCCCACTTCCTCACCACAGATCTCTGAGAATAGGCAGCCTTTGTAATACCAATACACATTATGAAGCTGGACACACTACTTTCCAAGATTATAAATGTTGACTTAGTGTATAGTGAAATTAGTTTCTTCTCCATCAAAGTCACTTTTTCTTAGACCTTGCATTTTATAGGTTGATGTGTATTATTAGATGATATACAGTGTATTACTGTACCTTATCATCGCATGTTGTTCTCTGCTTCTTTATGGAGTTTGTAAGAAACTGCATTTCCTAGGTTTTTGATGGATGTAGATTGTTCTGATGCACTTACTGTATATGCTTTAATTGTTGTCATTTAGTTGTTGTTGTCAAATTTTGGTGAATTTCAAGATTCCACAAAACTGTAGCTGCATGCACAGAAAAAATGGCAAACATTTTGACAGGGGTGCAAGTTCTGCTTCTGTTTTTACCTTCAAATTTTAAAACAGAGTAAAGGTCTATTAACAGTTGGTGAATGCCTGAAGTGGCAGATAAACAGATTGCATGGGATGTCTAAATATTAGTAAAAAATCTGTTAATGCGCCAAATGATAGGCGACATTTCAGAATTCGGTACCCTGTTGTGCCTTTGGCATTTGAAAGAAAAATCTCACAGTCTGAAGGTCAGTTCCAGGCAGATCATGAAGCAGTGACATCCACTACAGGCTGCTGTTCAGTCTGGTTAGTCCATTTTTGTCATGAAATGATTAAGTATATTTGAATCGTTACCTGTAGGTCCAGTCCTGATAATACAGAGAGAAGCAATGACAGCTTAACTGGCATAGAAAGTTGACATCAGTGCAGACATTTTGACATCATAACCGGTCACTTGAGAATGCATTGGGACGAAAAGGATGTTAATGAATTCTCTATGTCTGTAAGATATATAAAGATAATTAGCTATTGTGAATTTCTTTACTGAGCATATCAGACATCATCCTAACAAATCAAAAAACCTGCCAGAACGATGTAGTCTTAAAGAGCAGCATAGTTGTGCAGTGGTTACCTTTTGTTGCCTTGCAGCACTGGAACCCTGAGACCAATTAATTGGGTGTATGTGGAGTTTGTATGTTCTTCCCATGGTCATCCGGGTTTCCTCCAGGTGCTCCGGTTTCCTCCCACAGTCCTAAATCATACTGGTAGGTTAATTGGTTTCTGAAATTAGACCCGGTGTGAGTGTTTTTGAGTCTGTGTGTGCCCTGTGATGGACTAGCATCCCGTCCAGGGTGTAACCTGCTTGCACTTGTAGCTTGCCGGTAGAGGCACCAGCTCCCCAACAACACTGTATTGGAAAGAGCAGTTAGGAAATGGCTGAATGGATTGTTCTAGTCTTGAAAACAGTTTTGGGGTGAGCTGTGCAATAATGAGATAACAGTGTGAGGATGAAGCTTTGCACACCTGCCGGGCTATCCTCCTGTTTGTTTCTTGGTCGGTCGACCTTGGATAAGTTAACCCAGGTATAAAGAGGCCACTGCTACCTGGGTTTAGAGTTTGGATGAGTCAGACATTTAATTTGCTCCTCTTGGAAGACATTTGCCTATGTGACAAGTGAAAAAGTCCTTCATGCTGTGAGAACTGAAGTGTTGCCATGCCTTTATGTGTTTTTAATTATTTAAAACATGAAATGCCCTCAGGAACAATGGTATGTATGTTGACTTAAGATCAGTGTGGGGGGGAAAAAAATCTCAACAGAAAAACATTTTTCTCTCTGCTATGCACTAACTGAAGGTGGTGTGTTAGGTTAATGTACTGTTTGTGTAAAAGATATATAGAGATGAATATTTCTTTCAGGTTGAATTTGGTTTGTAAAATTGAACAAATTGTTTAAGTAAAAAAGCCTAAATCTTTCACTGGAACATTGAACTTTTCTGCAGAAAAATATTTCAAAATTGCTATTAGGATGCCTTAAATCTTCTCATAACACAAGCAGCCAACTATTGTTAAGAAGAAGATTAACAATATAGAAAATGTATCATATAATTTTATTTTAAATTTTAAAAAAAAGTCTGTATTTTGGGCATTTTGAAGGTTTGATTTGGTGTAGCTGTGTCACGTGCAGAATGAATTCCAAAAATGCAAATGTTTATTTTAACATTTTACAGTAGTTCAAAAGGGCTTAGTGAGGAAAGAGGAAAAGCTGTGTTTGATGCAATTTGGTTCCACAAGTGTAAGACATGTCAGGCAAGGTTAAACCATGTGGATTACGCACAACTTTTCACAGAAAGTTCGCAGTTGCTTTGTATGTTTGTGATACAGAACATGTAGATACTCATCAAGTTTCCCCAGCAACACTGATTGCAACAACACATTAGAGCATGAAAACCTTTTAGGGCAACCCTGAAAAAAATGGGGCCTGATAGACAAATACCAAAGTACTGCAAACCTTGAGCCCCTGCCTCTTCCCACCACATCTAATGGAATCTTGTAAAGTCTCTGTATGAAACATTAATACTGATAAACAGTTGTGTGAAAATATTTAATGTTTTTTTACACATGTTAATAGGAGAGAGTGAATGGAGATGGGATACAGTAACTGCTTCTTTTCTACATGCTTGTTTTAGGGCAGAATCTGCCTCATTGTTTGAATTTAAAAACAGTATTTGATTTTTTACCTTGCAGGTACACTGGAAATTTTATTAACAAAAATTTAGATATTAAGAGAAAAGAAAGAATGTGCTCATCATAACCCTGGTAAATGATCTGATCTGAAAACATATCAGCAATTGAACTGATTATGATGTGATGCTCTTGATGAATTTTTTTTTCTGGTTCTTGATTTGTTATTGTATTGTCCAACATAAAGTATACTCAGGCTGACTCTCATTTTAGGCTATAAATATACCTTCCCACATTGTCTGGTCACAGATATTTATAGTTAAAGATGTTGTGTAGTCTTGTGGGAAATCTCATTATTAGAACCACAATAATCGGACATGAAACCAAGGTGAAATCCATACTCAGCTTGTTTTTTGTTTTAAGAACACATAGACATATTCCACTCAAACTTTTTTCTAGTTTCATCCCTTCAAATGATTCCCTGCATACATCACAAGAGGTGTACGCTGCAAAAGACAATAATTCAAGAAATACATGTTAATACGACCAAGGGCATAGCTTACTTTGCTTCTTGTTTTGTTCTTAGCCAATTGGAGCACTGAACCCCAAGCGAGCTGTCTTCTATGCTGAGCGCTACGAGACTTGGGAGGACGACCAGTCGCCACCTTACCACTATAACTCCCACTACTCCACCTCAGCCTCCACCCTGCAGTGGCTTGTGCGAATAGTAAGTACAGTCCTGGATGTTGTCCTTGCAGATTTTCTGGAGATTTTAATGGTCTAACGAGAAGCACAACATTTTTACTCCTTGGTGAAAAGGAAATGTTTCAAGTTGCTAACAGGGAAAATAAATCAATGCAGTGTGTTCTCAATTTGTTAGTTTCTCTTTGGGATGGTTTGGAAGAGAAGAAAACTCCCCCCACCCACAAGAACTTAGATTTACAGAGCTACCTACAGGGTAGCGTAGGTTATATAAATCCATACAGTTCCGATGCCGAATGTCAGGTTAAGTTTCTTTTTAAGGAAATAACCTTCATGAGATATTTCTTTTTGCATTGGAAGCATTCTGCATAACACTTAAAAATGATAACTGACAAACTCTGAAAATCTTTATAGAGTAGTGCTTGCTTAAAATTAAATACTCGCTATAGATTTAAATAATCTAATATAGGTTATAATAAATTAAGTGTATGTTATGATAGAAAAGATGTTAATTTAAAATAAACATATATTATTGTGTGTTCTGTCTGTATTATCTTAAAGGTGTCAAAAATAAAAAAAGCCAATTGGCCAACAAACAGCTTAAAGATGCTTGAATGCCAGAATAAGGCATTAAGGACAGATGTGCAAACTAAATTAGACTGTAGTGTGTGAATTTCCTGAGAGAAGCCTCTTTTCATGTCATCTTAATGCTTCATCATTGAAATTGAAATCAACGCAGTTCTTCACAGAGGAGAAAAAAAAATTAAACATCTCAGTTTCATAGGGCTAAAGTTCCACCCCAGGGGTTTCTGAGAAAAATTCACAGGCCAGTAAACTGGCATATGCTAACTAAATAAAGTGCGCAGAATAAAATTTTACAGACGCCTTCATGACAGGTTTATGTGTTCAGTGTTACAGCCCTGAGTATGGGAACAGAAGACAGTTGATCATCTTAGCTGCTAAATATGCAATATGTTTAACAGCAGAGGAAATGTTGAGCAACGGTGAATGGAGAACTGTTTGGTTTTCCTAGACATGTACAATCCAGGAGAGGTGAACTGTGGGTTTCTGTATCCCTCTTCTGTAAAAGCAGTGGCTAAAAGAATGCACACAAAACAGTGGAATATAAAATGCCTGAATGCACCCCTGGGATTGTTGCATAGTCTGAAAGCTATAAAAAATGAATATTTAATTAACAGCCTCCCCATACACACAGTTTACCTTTCCCAGTCAAATATTAATTATTGTGGACTACTTAAAGATTTTTTTCTTTGTACAGCTCTACTGTTTTCCCTTGTGGTACTGCAGCTTGTTTTGAGAGAACTGAGAGGTAACTCTGACAGCAGACTGAAGCTTATACTGTGATTCTGAAGATGCCTGGTGGTGTTTATCTCTCACAAGTGATATTTCCATTGGATTCAACTCGGGTGCCTCAAATGAACCAATAAAGTGAAATTTTGCCCAATTAGAATAGCCAATATGTATGCTGCAGCCAGGAAACTAGATAATTAATTCACCCTGAGGCTCTGCTGCGGTAAATGGGGCAAATTTCCATAGAAACTCCATTGACTATAATATTATTCCCTGATAAAAATGGATGTGTTGGACACACTGAATTTGAAATCCATCCCCATTTTCCATCATTTTCCATCTCTGGCTGTTTCAGTGTTTTTTTACAGCATAATGGTATAATTTCACATGTGTAAATTATTGAAAACCTTTTCAAATACAGCAAGATGCAGCAATCCTTTTTATTTTGTCATACTTTTTTTATCACCTTGTTTCTTTTTTGCAGAGGCACATTCCACTGTTGTATATAATCCCTAGTCGCAGAACAGGCTTCACTTGTAATTTTTACATGCACAGAATGGCCTTTGGCCTTCTAATATGACATGACTTGCAAAACGTGCAATAGCAATAACACTTCAGCTTACATTCTGTGTTGTTTGGGGAGCACTGAATTAATTCTCACTGCACACTGTTCCCCATAATAGGGTCTTCAATATTGACACATTCTGTTTCATTGGAGTTTTGAAAGAATTTATCAGTGCTTGACAGTAATTTAAGATGTTTCCTTGCTCATAGAAAAAAATATTTAAATTATAACCCTTGCAATTATATAATATAATATAAAACCATGGTATAAATCTATAGTTTGAACAACTTACATTTAATTTAATAGCACCGTATTACGTTAAAAACATGTAATATGCATAAATACAGTAGGTATGGAATTAATAAAAATATAATGTGTATAAAAATGTGTAATATGTAGAAAGATACATTGAAATAAGTGTTACTTTTTTCTCTGAGGACATGGAGGATATATAAAAAGCAAACAGAATATCCTAGAACTCAAGACAGAACTTGCCTGGGAAAAAGTGTGCTTCAAGTCAAATTAATGCCTGTGAGAATTTTCTTTTGTTTCAAAAACCAAGCGCAGTTTATTTCCAAACAGAATGTCGCACGTTTGAAAGTGTGTATGACTGCGTGAGAGCAGAAGGATTTACACACTTGTCTTCCCCCAGGAACCCTTTACCACTTTCTTCCTGAACGCCAACGATGACAGGTTCGATCACCCAGACCGTACTTTCTCTTCCATCGCCAGGTCGTGGCGGAACTGTCAGCGCGACACCTCCGATGTAAAGGTGAGGTCAGAGCAGGCACAACTAGGAGCCCTTTTTTTACACTCCGTGGGTACAGCACTCTTTGTCTGCATATACAGACATCAGAGGCAGATGATAGAAAGTCTTCCATTTATGTACCTGTAACCCTGTATCTTACAGGATTTTCAAAGAATGGAGATGTGCCAGTGTTTCTGTTATTTATTACTGACTGCATGTTTTTACAACAGATATTTTCCTACTATATTTTGTTTTGTAGAAAATGTGGCACTATGGTTTATACTGTAAGATGAGGGCCAGGTTTCATTGTTACCTCCAGTTGGCCATCATAATCTGCCTGCATGTTCTTTTGCTGTTTTTACTGTAGTTTAATACAGTTCCTGTTGCAGAGAGATGGAGGTTTAGGCATTGAAAATTATATTTAGCACCATTCACCTTAGTAGGTTTTGCATTAGGGCTTTGTCGTATGTTTCCATTCGGTAGTCTGTGTGTCTTTTGTTTTTATTTGCCTGTTGTTCCTTAGACAAAGAGAGTGTGCTCTTAGTAGATGCTGTACCATTAGTTCTTTTCAAACTAGGGTCCTTTTGGGGCTCAGATTTTGAAAGTAATGAACAAAGCTGCCAAAGACAATCACAGTCAGCCTGGAGGATGCTGTTTACAGACACAATATGCATTTTGGATTCAGTGTAATTAAAAACCTAGCTATCTTGCAGTGTGGTAAAAGAAAGATAAATTCATGACACAATTTTAGCAAAGTCTTTGACTAAGGTGAAAAGGGAGTCTGGCTATTATTCTATTAAGATAAAACACTTCAAAGAAGGGTAAAATGACAGTGGTACCCTGCTGATTGTTCACAATTTTGTGCATTCTGTAACACGCAGCAGGAATAAGCATTGACCTCAAAGTGTCATATTTTTTCTAGCACACCGAGCACTGGGTTAGTGTTTGCCTTAGGCAATTAATAAAGCATTAATGATGAGGACTATTTAAAATGTAGGCTTTTATGTACAGACATAGCTCTTTCTGTTATGTGCTAGGGAGTGAACAAAATATATTAAGTTAAAAGACAACATATAGAAACACAGCAAGCATTCAGATATCGCTCTTTGTTACAAATACAGTGCACTTTAAGATATTTAGAGATTTCATGTACTGTATGCCTAAGTAGACTACCTAGTGTTTTTCCTCACATGTACAATGCTACTGTTCTGGAATTTCTGAAAGGAAAAGCTTGTGATGAAGTACTGAACTAGGCTTTGACATGTGTTTTCCCTTTTAGAATTCCATACTAAAGAAACAACTAAAGGTTAATTTCACACCAAGAAGTAGAAAGAAGACACACCATTTCATTTGTGGAGTCTTCTTTCGTGTAAATCCTAAAGTCAGCGGTTTACACTTGTTATGATGATGATGTAAGAAGCTAGCTGGCTTGGTCTAAATCATTACTGCACAAATTTGGATGTACCCTTGATATTTCCATAATGACTGTCCCCTCAGGATTTCACAGATAAACTGAAGTACAGACACATAGAAAAAGTACTGTACATAGGCATACCTTTTTGGCTCAGTGAAGAAATGTGCCAGTTCAAATGATTTGAACTTTGTGGTAGCCAGCCCAAGTTCTTTGTAGGCCGAGTTACAGTCCCTGAATGGACGTTGGGGGGTTAGGAGTGGGGTGGGGGCTGGACTGTGTCTCTGCACAGGTACAAATGAGTGGCTGCCCTTCTCTCGACAAGGGTTAATGTTTGCTTTCCCCCAGTCGACAATATGCCTGGCAGAAAGCTGATTAAAAGAGAGTTTGTTTTACTAGGGCCCTCTTTATTAATCCGGGCCTTCTCCAGCAGTAATGAGTACAAGCTGAAAGAAGAATGACTGCTAGCGGGGACGACCTTTCAAAAGAGCAAGTCACCCGGAAATGACTTTAGCGGGGCCAGTCGTTTCTCTTGCCTTTCTCTTGCTTCCTTTGTCTCTAATCTATGTATTTATATACATATGTATTTATCGACACACGTTTATGCCTGTAAGTATTTTTAGAGGAGAGTGAAGGAAAGAGATCGCTTTTCCAGGAGCTGAAAACGACACATTTTTCAGACTGCCCCTTTAAACCTTGCCACTTTGTTGTCTGAAGGGATTTCAGTGCACTTCACAAGAAAAAGATTTTGACAAAATGTCGTTAAGGTGACACGGTGTAAAGTAATACAGTTAATGGAGACTCCTGTGATTGACTTGTTAGCCCATTATGAGGCTGTTGCAAAATTAATGGATGCCGAGGGAACTGGATTTGAAAACAGAGCTGAAGGTTTGAAAAGCTTTGTGGTGAGTCATGGCAGAGAAGTTCACAAAAAAAAAACACACAAAAAGAAATTTAAATAAAAACTGATGCACTTTTTTTCTGTCAGTGAGTCAACCAGGCCAGTTGTGAAACATCATGAAGACATTTTTTGTTTTTTGTTCTCACAGTAAGTTATGCCAGAAGCATGCTCTGTTACATGCTTCGCATATTCGGCAATTATGGTGAAGAAGATGTAAACTTTGCACTGCATTCATATAAAAGGACAAATTTCTTACTGAAAACTGTATGTGTGTATATATATATGGTATCTGAGGTGTCAGTAAGGTAGAATTCCACATGTTCACATTTTATGTACTCTACACCAATGCACAGAGCATCTCTCAGCATCTCCCCCCTTAGTAATATGAGGTTAAATGTGACGGCTGTATTGGAATGTAGTGTCCATTATTAGTAGACTGGTTGATGAGCAAGAACTAATGCTTGAGACTGGAGAGAGGTCATTAAAGTTTAGAGAATGTAGCTAAGGGCTATCAAGCTGATAGCAGGTCTCAGCAGGCTATAGAATGAGAAGTACAGGATATCTCTGGCAGTAAGAAGAAGGCATTCAGAACACTGGCCTATGGAATGATAAAGGCCAAGTTCAAATCGATAAGTACATGCAGAGCAGGTGAATTGTCAAAACAGACAGTTTAAATTGATTTTGTTTGGGGAAAAAAAAGCATTCAATTTTACAAAACCTCTCAGGCTTGCCTTATTTTTCAGTAAATAAAATAGTTTTAAATTGAGTTGAAAAAACATTGACAACAAAGGAGCTGACCCTGACATTTCTATAGGAAGGTCTTTTGAAAAACTGTATTGATTGAAGAAAGCTTCAAATTGTCTGAACAAACCGCAAGTTTGGTATCAAATGGGAAAGGATTAGGGGAGAGAGAGAACTATCTGACACACATTTTTCAAAATTATGGATTTATTTTGATAGAGTTGTATCTTGACAAAGTAATTTATTCACAGTTGCCTCTGATATTAATTTCTCCTTAGTTTATCATTTTAGTTGCTAGTAAAGAAACTTGTAGTGTTGCTTTTATTATAGTGCTTTCCGGAGACATCCTGTTATGTGAACTCTGTCCGTAAGGTCATTGCTGTGATTGCTCCTTTACTCAGTTTAATTCCCATCTGGGAATGCCTCTGTGGCCACATCTTTTTCCCTGCTTATTCTGTCCTGCTGGGATCTGCAAATGACTTTGAACTTCTTATAGTGAAGACAAATACATTGAAATAATATCTTATTCAACATTTAAACATACTCAGGATTTCAAGGTAAAACAATAGTGTGGGGTATTAGTCAGTATTGCTCTACCTTTAATTTGTTCTATTTTTTCCCTTTTTCCATGACTTTGTCCTCGATTTTGTCTCTTCTTAAACTGCATATTTTCCTAATTTATTATTCTGCTTTTCTTCTCCTCCATTTAGCCAGTGCTAGGCTTCAAAAAGCCCTTAAGACCGAACAACATGAGCTGATCAGCGGCTAAGAGTTGAGAGTGATCTGTGTGTTTTAATTCTGACAGGAGCTGATCCCAGAGTTCTACTATCTCCCCGAGATGTTTGTGAACAGCAACGGATATAATCTGGGGGTTAGAGATGACAGAACTGTTGTTTCGAATGTTGATCTTCCCCCCTGGGCGAAAAAGCCAGAAGACTTTGTTCGGATAAACAGGATGGTAAGGATTTTTTTTCCTCGTCACTTCTTGTTTGTCAGGTTCAGGTGGACGGGGCACCTCTACCTTGATTTGTTATTTTGTTCCTTTATAAACAACAACCTAAGTAAATTCAAAGAATACAGAGTTAGAAAAAGAAACATGGAATAATTGTCCTCCAGTGTTAATTAAATCTTAGCCACTGTCATCTGTGGAAGCTTTTTATTGTTACTGCAGTCTTGAGTACTGCAAGAATGCATTGCTGAGTGTCAAAATAGCAATCATTTACAGTACATCTTCCAATATCACATGCTTTTCAAAGGCCAAAGGTAGAGATAAGCTGAAAGGTAGATTTGAAAAGCCCCGGTTTCATAAATCAAGTTTTTAGGGACATTTATTTTCTTGTTTAGAAATCAAAGTTCCAAGTGCACTTTGAATCACAGTCAAAATACTGTATGTGAATGAGAATTCACAGAATGAAGAGAATGTGCATATACTGTAGCAAAGGAAGATTTCGCCAATTGGGCCATTCACTTGAAGAACTTAATCTACCAAGTTTTTATGTTTTCTTCCAGTCAACAGCTGCTTGAGATGTGAAGAAAATGATTGAATTGATCTGATACAGGCTGAAATGACCCATGTAACTTTTAGAGGAGGCCAAAAAAAACCAACAGGACTCTGTGTCATGAGAAGTCATGTTAATACATTGAATATTCAAGACAGTATTTAGTACCTTACGGTAAATGTCAATTAAATATTACTTAGTTGTAAATGTAAATTCTTGACAAAGTTTAATTGCTATGACTACATAGACAAAGTTTAATTGCTATGACTACATATTTGACATTTATGTGTCACAAGGGCTATTTTTTAAACTGTTAAAACCAAAAAAGTATTGGAACGAATATGCCCCTGCGTATAACAGGGATCTCAGCCACTAGGGCTGAGGGAGGTCTCCCTTAGCTCTGCCATCAAGTTCCCTGATGCGTGACTCCGGAGACCCAGGTGCGCGCCAAGGCAGTGAGGGACAAACTGGCAGGGCAGTAGTGGCAAGGGCAGAAGCCCAAAGAACCGTTACATTATTTTAGTCAGTCCTGTTATATGAAAATGTATCCTGCTAGATTGCTTTAAAAATGTGGTCATCTACAGTACATAGGCAGTGCTTACATTAAATCACTGAGCACGCCAATCTCCTGGCAGATTGTTTCTGTGCCTCTACCAAAATCCTTCACTCTGGATATGCAAAGAAAACCATTAGTATGATTCAATCCCAGAAGCTAAGTGACATCCCTTCATATAACATTCATTAGCTCTTTTTTCTTTTCCTTGTTTTCTGGGCAAATAAAAGTTTAATAGCATTGCCATGATGTATGTATTAAAAAAGAAAAGTGATTCCTTTAGTTGAACAAACCTCCTCAGGGTCTGAGTTTAAAGACAAAGTGAAATGAAAAATGAATACAGAAGTGGAAGTGCACTTGACTTTAATGGTGGGACTTAATGGTATTTTAGCGTACTATTGCTCTCCGTGTAAAAACCTGAATGTAATCCCACCAGTGTCAGTGAGTTCTGTTTTCTTACCCAGCAGTGGTGAGTCTCCTGTTGAATTGCTAGGATTGTTTTTTTTTTCTTTCTGTCCTCCCTGTATGTTTCCTACCTACTGCCTGCCAAAGGCTAGACGGATCTCACTGACTTATTCATGAACAGCTAATAAAGTGGTGTGCTCGATACTAACTTGATTTGGTCCTGACCTCAGTGATGTCACTAAAGGACAGGAGCAGTAAGTGTCCCCGATAATGTTACCTTAATGCTGGCTTCATCAATCATAATTTACCAGTTTAAGAAAGCCTTTCACAGATGTGCATCTGCAGCATTACTCAGTCTCTCAATCCCAGCAGGCCCTGCCGAGGAACTGAGAGCCAGAAATAGAATGCACTCAGTTAGTTATTCAGGCATGCTTAATACACACAGATGAGGGACTCCAAGAAATGCTTTTTCCCTCAGCCTATGTGGGACTGTAACTTTAGAATCTTCAACCAGCTGGATTTTTACATTGCGTCTTTAAAGAATAACAGATGTGGTTTTGTTCCTATGCATAGGCTCACACATGCACAAGCTGAAACACATACGAGTTGTGGGTTTTCAGGATTGAAATGCATTGTTCTACTATCACTCATCTCTGAGTTGGAGCAATTTTAAAATTAAACTGCCCTTCTTGTACAGTCTATTTAATTAGGGGTACAGAGATATGATTTCCTTATTTGACACCAAAAATGGTATGACTACAAGCTGCTGGCAGTGATATTGACACAAGAAAGGACATGAAATCTCAGATGATACCCATTGATAGGACTTTGCGTTTCCAGCAGGATGCTTGATTGCCATGGTCTTAATGGGTTTTAAAGTCAGCACTTGGCTGTGGGCTATACCAGTCTGTAGTGGAGACAACTGAACTTTAAACTGTTGTTTAAATTATTTTGCCTCATTTTGATAGGTCTCCTTAGACCGAGTCCTATATCTGCACTTCCTCTACTGTGTACAGATTAAAGGACTGACGCTTCACAGATGACATTACCATTCTAAATGAGGAATATGTTGCATTTTAAGGATTTCACACAGCAGATGATGAGAGTGGTAATACAAAGCTGATGCATTGGATTTCCACATCTCAGCTCCCCCAGTCCTAGTCCCACTCATGTTGTTAACAAACATTATTCTAATTTTAGCTTTGCTGGTCAACCCCCCAGTGAAATGGGATGCGATATGATGGATGTGTTCTGTATGCTGGGAGCTGGAGCGGTGTGTGGGGTGGAGGGGTGGGGGGCAAAACACACTTGACCTTTTGGACAGGATTGGCAGGTCTGGCTGGGGGAGGGCGTCTCTTGATGGTAACCTTTCGGAAATCCAAATTCATTCTCCTTGGTCAGCTTCGCTCACGTGTCAGATCGAGGACGGCGGTTATACATAGTGATATTAATAATGAGCCTTTGTCAAGGCGGCCGTGACGTCTGAGCTTCAGCCTGGAGGTTCAGGAGGGAAATGGAGTGACCTGCCAAGCTCAAGCACTGTTCTTTTCCCATTTCCAGTACTAAAGGACACAGTGCATTTTAGGAAGTCCTCACAAAAAAAAGTAGCCAAAGGTGGTATGGCTTCTTCCTTGTAAATTATTAAAACATGAGGTCCTCATTTTGTTGATTATTATGCTACTAGTAGCCCTTCAAAAATCCATTTCCAAATTTAAAAATGTCCTTAAAGTTCAGCGTATTTGATTTTCTAAAGAAAATTGTTCTGGATATTATGGTCGAGAACAAATATATATATATTCCTAATGCTCTTTTTTTTATAATCTGTCGGACATTTCTAAAGCACATCTGTGTAGTTCTGCATACAGTGTGATGCTTGTACATATATATTCACAACTACAGGCCATCTGTGTAAAGAAGACATCCCAGATTGGTTTCAAGAGGATGTGCAAAAAAATGTCATTGGTCTTTGTGACAGAAAAGCTGCAGGAAGAAACAAAGTTCTACCTCTCCCTGTTTCCATCTACATATCTGTCATTTGCAATTGTAATGATGTGCCTTCTGGGTAGAGCAGCCTTCGAGTTCTGTTGCCTGCTTGGTGGTAATAACTGTTATTCTCGGTTGTGTAAATTCAGCAGCAGGGACCTATATTACTAACGTAACTGAGGTGCGTCTGTGGAATGTGGAACTGAGGGGATTTGTGGCAAAGGGGAGTACAGAGTTCTTCAGATAAACTGGTCTACTGACTCTCAAACGAGTCGATGGGCTGAATGGCTTTCCCTTGTTCATCGTGTTTCTTATGTTTTTACCGTGCAAATTAATATGACAGATCACTTGAAACTGTGCTTCAGTTATAATATGAAGAATTGTTCTTCATTAATGTTAGAACACAGTGTTGCATCATAATGCACTGACATTGAGCATACAGATTTTTCTCCAATACACCACCTAGCAGTAAGCATAGAGAACATTAGAAAAAAATAAAGAAGAATAAATAATGAAGAAGCATAATGAAGTTATGTATCAAATATATTAGCTTTATTATTAGTATTAAGCAGCTGACCAATGTTAAATATTTTGCATTTTCAAAACTGCAAAGATATAGTAAAACAGTTCAGAAATGCAACTTGTATTTTCAAGCCTGATTCTTAATTATGCAGTCCTAGTATGAGCCAATTGTCATATGCTGACATTGAGAAGTTTTGATATGCCTATATAAAATGTTAGCACTCGCATATCTTTTTTGTGGATTCTATGTTACCTTCAGTGTATGAAATGCCCCCAAAAAACACATGCTTGGTAAGAAATGGATCCTTTTGTGTTTTCATGTATAAAGTTAATGTATGAATACATAGAGGGCCCATGGGTAGCCGATTAGAGTCAACGCAGCAATGCTATGGCTCAATGAAAGTGATAGGTGTTCCAGAATTTCTGATGGTAGGACCGCTGCATCATGATGTCATTAGATCTTCAGGTTCCGTCTACAGACCATCAATAAATCCAAAGAACACTACCAGCTTGCGGTACCCAGACTTGATCAATAAGGATTGGTCCATAACACAAGTGTTCTTCTTTTGGGAAACACCTCTTAGTTGTGAGGAACCTTAAACTTAAACTGTCACTAAAAGTATTACAGCTTTGTTTTTTTTTCTTTTTTATACACTTCACTGTCGATTGACTTTTCCCGTTTATGAAAGGCACAAGCCAAGGACCATGGCCTGGACTGCAGTATTTTTCTTCGCCGTCACCTTTAATTCCTGTTTCCCTTGACAGGCCTTGGAGAGTGAGTTTGTGTCATGTCAGCTACATCAGTGGATTGACCTCATTTTCGGATACAAGCAACGTGGCCCGGAGGCAGTCCGCGCTCTCAACGTCTTTCACTACCTGACGTATGAGGGCTCCGTCAATCTGGACAGCATCACGGACCCCGTCCTCAGAGAGGTAGGCCCGAGCAGGAAAAGCACGCACATGAATTGTGTAAACACTGTGATTACACTCATATGAAATACAGCTGTGACCCTGCATTATGTAAACGTTTCTTCCATATTTCAAAGTGCAAACCTCTCTTGCAATACTAGTCTGCTGTTGTTCACGTATTTCCTCCAAAACAATGGGGTCAGTGGTAGATTTAGCATGTATAAAGTTTGGTACTGGATATTAAACTTAAAATGTAGGAACAATTTGATCTTAATTGGATTATTCATCATTGCACAGTCATAGTACAGGTGCAGTAGAAATTTCCTTTCACAGTAACATGTGTTTGAAGCTCTCAGTCTTTGGTAAAATCTGCACTGTGTATGAATGTTACACAATAGCACACAATAATTCAGGTCTGTGATTCATGTACAAATGAAATTAATCTCATTTTATGAAGTGAAAAATATTGCATTTCTAAGCCCTTTCTTATCTGTAGAATTGTCTATTATGGATACTTGCAAACCATTACATTTGAGAAGGTGAATGTTTTCATATTTATATAAACTGAGCAACAAGCATTTTTTAATTTGGTGTGTTAATTTAACAAGAGATGTTCTTGTCCTGTGGAAACATGATGAAGATTTAAGGGATAGTATTAGTATTGTGCTCCTTATAAAGAAACCTGTAGAAGTACTAGATTCTAAAAAAAAATCTGCCCCTTGGAACAGATGCTTGGGCAATAATACACATTTTAAGCTCAATACAACAATTGTTTAATGCTTATAAAATGTCCTTAATTACTAATGAATTAACAGGTTATCAACAGGTGAGAATTCCATAGTTTATGTGCAACTGAGTGTTGATAAGAACATTCTAAACTAGATTTACTACCATATTGCTACTGTTTTACTGATACCATTTTACTTAACATGTTTAATTACTTAATACATAAAACAAGTATCTGGTAATGTACTGTATCTGGTACTTATTAAATAAAAAAGTATCATAAGGTAATGATGGCTGTTAACAACAGAAAGAGTTAGTATTGTTGATGCTATTTTGTGACAAAAAATCATCCAAATATTTTCTGAGGCAAACACATATACAGAGATACTGGTAAAATATTTTCAGCTGCATACATGGATTGGTTTATAAGCCAATTATCTTATTGACACGGGTATAAAACACAAAGACAAGTTAAAATACAGTATGTCCCAGTGCATTTTAAAGGTGCTGTGTATTTTTGTTTCATGTTTATTGATTGTGGACAACTACTGAGATTAGAAAAAAGTAATTTACATAGTAAATTTATGAAACAGTCTTTATAAAAAGAGCCCCCAGACACATTTTGTTTTTGCGCAGTCTTTATAGGATAGTGTTTTTTTGTGATATTCTACCACTTCCTTTCTTAAAACAAGCCCAAAATTCTTGGGTTGTCTTTAGTTATCTTTAACTTTAAGTTATCTTTAATGCATTCCTTTTAAATTACGTATTTATTTTACATTTTAATTCAGATGTTGAGCTACAGACTTAAATCTTACAAAGTAAAATGAAGGTATTAAAAATGTATTAAAAAATTAAGATAAGGATGTAAATGTCAATTTCTAGTGCCCAGTGTTCCAAACCAAATACATAATGGCTTGAATGCCAGTCATCTCCACTTTAGAAAAAAGTGATTTCAATCACCAGTGCAAAGTTTATTTCATTTGTTTAGCTTTTACGTCTGTTTGCTTTTACACTTAAAAGCTTAAAGATCTGTGCTTAAACGGTCAGTTCTGTTTAGACTCTGTATCTGTTCCAAACACACTCCTCTCTGCACAGTTGCTACTGGGCCAGCTAGGAACAGATGGCTATAATGAGCCTGGCTAGCAAGGCTGGGCAGTGCAGCCACCAGTGGAAATGCCTCTTTTACCTTATGGAGTAAGACTTCTGTGGCTTGTATTGTACTGTTTTGAAAGTCACATAGGTGCTATGAGCTGTGAAGACATTTATTCTGTCTTCAGTATTTCAAATGTACTTTATTAAGTTAAAAGCAGTTCCAGTCATCTGTGATGCATTAATACCAAATCAGATATATGTGGTGCATTATTAAAGCTACTGAAAATTTCTAAGTAAATATATGCACTTGCGTTTGTCCAAAAATACAGAATTGCATGGTAGACTATCCCCCAAGAATAAATGTGTACACTATGTACTGTACAGTACAGTATTTTCTGGGGATCTAAAAGCCATCACATTTAAAGTATCTCTGTAGCATTCATGACCTGCATACATCAAGGCAAAAGTGTCATCTAAACACCCACAAGAGGCCTTAGTCTCATAAGGCCTGCCTTCTATTGTTTGAGTTCTATCTTTCACCTTGTGAAAACTTTCAAAGGGATATCAATATCTGGCACACTCTTTGATTAAATGTCTAGTATGATCTGGTAAATTTGAAATGCATTATCTTGTCTATAGCTAATTAATAGACTTAATATAAGCAGCACATTTTTACCAGTGTAGTTTTGAATAGCTTAATTGAAAAAAGATGAAATTGCAGCAGCTGGCATGCAGTGTTGGGCTTATAGTAAGAGATCCTCACACCCCATGATATCAGCCATCTGCTGTATGCAAAGTAAGTCATTTATATACTGTCAGCACTGAGAGTGTTTTTATTTATCAAGTGACCAATATGCTAATCACTCAGAATTAGTTTTCATGCAATTAAAAAATATCGAAAAGGAAGCAACAATTTTGCATTTTTTATTTTTTCTGAACCTTTCAAGATTAAAGAATACTTTTCAGTTACCATGTTCAATATATGTTAAAAAAAACTTCCCGTTTTAATATCCCAAATCAGTAATAGTATTTGGTGTTGATCACCCGTATCACTAGTTGTTACATTCTCTGGCACTGTATTGTGCTTCAAAGTGAACATATGATCTTTAGTCTTTATGTCAAGTCTGTTCTTAATAGAGCCGCTGTCAAATTTAATCATGGTTCACCTTCCTCCATGACTGATCCAAAGACAGATATCTCCTCTATTCCTCTCCTTCTAGACATCATTAAAAAGCAAATTCCACTGGCTAGCTGCTAATCAAAAGTAACAATCACCTGCTTGCCACTGAAGGCACCCCCCAATTATAGGTTTTTCTGTGGGAAGGTATAAAGGAGAAGGTTGTGCTTGAATTTGGCATTATGGATTTGAATGAAAAACAGAGGCAGAAATCATGAAAACTATAAAGCCTTCAAGTGAAATAGCTGACTGAAAAGGGAGAGAACAAGAGAGAAAATTTCTCGAAAAGAATTTCACACATTTTACCCGAAAGCGTGCCAGTTCCTAGAAAAACAGTTTTGTCAGTCCAGTCTTTTTTTCTCAAGCCACTCGTACAGCTGCTACATAATTTCCACTCTATAAGAACAAAAAAATGAAAATCTGGATTGCTGCAATGCTGAAGCCCTCAACCCCCCCCTGATCTGCTCAAATCATTTCATGCTTTTGTTCATTTATTTACCATGCCAATTGCCCTAATTGTCTAACAGTCCATTGGCAATGGCAATGTGGCTTTCTGCTGGGGCAAAAGTGTCAGCTTGAATATTAAAAGTAAGACTTTTCTTGTTGCTCCTTCATCTCAGCACATCATCTGAATTTACTGATGCCAGGACAAAGGCAGCCAACTGGGAATAGGTGCACTGTCACCTTTGTTTGTGGGAAGCCAGTGGAAGAGTTAAAAGCCAAGTTAAAAATGTAGCTACTGTAAGGGAGGTTGGAGTATTGGCTCTTACATCACATGGCTAAAATAAATGTATGAATAAGAAACGACATTATCTGAGTGACTGTCTCCCAGAGTATTATCTTGCCGCTGATGACCGTGTAATAGTGAAAGCTACTGTTCCCCAGTCATGAGCCCTTCCCTGGGCAATAACCAGAGACGTCTTCACTGGGAGACATGTTGAAATGTGACGATCAGCTCCAGGGTATTGATTCATTCCTGCTTGACAGGTGAAACCGCGGCTGTGGCGTTAACCGCGGCAATTATGGTATTAAAATGTCAAGAAATTAGAGGTCAGAATAATAGATAATTTTCCTCCTCATGTCAAATTAAAACTCCGACACCCTCTGACAGGCACAGCAGCTCCAGTTGAGGACATTATGACAGCTTAACTGAGCCTGCTCTTGTAACCGCGGTGATTCACCATGATGTTTATCATGACAGCATTCTCGTATGGAAGAACATGACAGCAACCTCTTGATACACACCCTGCTGATTCTGAGGGATGTAAACAGACAAATTATGCATTATCTTTTTATTGGGGCTTGTCGTGTGTCCTTGAGTTGAATGTCTTTTTTGTTGTTGTGCTTTTTGATTTTTTTTTTCCACTCAGTTTACAGGACCGAGTACATGAGAATACAGGACAGAGAGAAACAAAGGCAAAACTATCTTTGAAAACAACACTGGCATAAATTATTACCAGAAAAAACACCTTTTATTTGTATTTTACATCCCTAAATGCCCTATTAAATTGTTTGTTGCTGGTACTAGCTGAAGGGTTCTGGATATTTAGATTCAGGCCTTGGGCCTAGCAAGGATGAGGTTCGCTTCCTGTATGTTTTGGGATTTCTTTTTTTAATCCATATTAATAACATCTTTTGAAACAAAATCTGCAGTATTGTGTTACAGTGATAAATAATTTGATAGTTTTGGTTGAAAACCTTGATACTGATTTTCAGCTCTGAGCTGTCATACCTCCACTGAAGCCAATTACACAGAACATAAATGAGACATGTGGTTGCCAAGGGCTGCAGGAGCAGCAACTGCTCATCAGTGTGAAATGCTTTACATACTTGCTGTAAAATATACAACAGACTATCATTCTTTCGTTTTGCTTTTTACATGAAACTTGTCTTCCTCCTGATTAACAATTTTTAACTCTCTCTGTCTGTTTATATGTAAGATATATTAGTCAATCCACATTTTGAAGTCATACAGAGGCTGTGTCGCCAATGGCTGTCACATATCATATGCCCATAACTGTTTTGTTGTCATTTAGCAGTATGTATTGTTTGTTTTTATGAGGATCCCACATCAGTATAATCCCATTTTATAACATGCTAACACACATAGAGTGCTGCTTTATCTCCTAAGCATCGTAAATACTGTATGCTTTTCCCTAAACCACTGTCTAATGCTGCTCAATGTACAGTACACATCTTAAAGTAATTTGAGTCTGTTCAATTTGCTCTACAACACAGTCAAAAGCTTTACTGAGCTTTGTCAGGCTTATTTTGTTTTATACCTCTGTTATAAGTTCCTATGTTCTATCTAATACCATGTTATTCATGATATTGTAAACAGTTACAGTCTGTGATAATACCCTACGATAACATACTCTGGGGCACAGTTAGCCAGACCATGTCCTACAATATTTGTTTCTGGTTTCCTTTACCATGATTTTAATGACTTAATTGAACCAATGTGGTTGCTATGAAATTGAATCAACTGTGTTTTCCAGGCCTGAATCAGGTGGTAGTTGACAAGGGCCTCTAAAGCCTATAAGGAACCCACTACTCAAGGAGTGCCGACCCCTGCTCTAGAGGTGTGGATCAGGTTGTTGTCAGGATTAGGGTTTAAATTCCAACATGCAAGTAATCTCTTGTATTGTTTGTGTATTATTGTATTTATATTATTCTATTTATACTTTCTTAATTTGTCATAATAAATGAATAATGTTTGCAAATCCTGAGCCAAAGTCTGTCTAGTTATCTTGTCAAGAAGAATTTCTGTCTCATGAATTATCCAGTTGTAGGAGGTGTTCATTCCTTCTAGATTTAGATTTAGTTAGTGAGCACTATCATACACCCATCTGACTCAGATGATAAGCCTGTCTTCTCTGTTTGACTGAGTTGTAGCAGGTAGATGCATGATTGCATTTAGTAGTGTTAAAATTTTCTTGTGGCCTGTCACCAAACTGGGAAATACCATCTGAAAGACATACTTGTTCACCTTTGAGGCCTGCTGTCCAAACAAAGTGTAGATAGAAACAATGATTGACATACAATGTATTATGATAGATGTTTTGTGCTCATCTTAGATAGGCAGTTATAGCTGGGAGGGAAATCAGCATATGGCTTTTACACTATGCATTTCTTATCAGCAAAAAAGCAGAGCCAAAAGTGTATTAAACTAATTAGCTGGCTGGTAAATATATTAGATGTTATTTTAAGATAGCCCTATCTTTCCAATCCGTTGTTTAAAAGGTTAGAATATTGACATTTGTGATACAGTGACATGTTTTGACAGTTCATCAAGCCAAACTGCATTCTATAAATATCCCTTAAGCCTGTTAACCATTGCCTTTTGGACTGCAGATCTCGGACAAATTGTAAAACAAGACACGCTTTCTTCGATGTGAATTAGAAAGAGTTTTTTTTTTTTAAATACAAAAGATCTATGTAAAAGAACAACCATTTTACATGATGCTTTCCATATGGCCTTCCCTGCTTTCTGATCTCCTATCGGATTACTTTATTTGAACCCAGACGTCATTCAGACACGACCCTCGCTCTAAACGCAACCTAAAATAGCTATAATGAGAATTCGTCATTACTTGATGGACTGCATTATGGAGTACTAGTGACTGACATTTAATTGTTGCCAAATGTGCAACATGCATTTATTTGAGCAGTGATACCCATCCCACTGTGCTATTTTAAGAGCACCATTTCTTTGATTATGTCCCCGACTGAGAGGATCGTGGAGGAAATTGGGTGCCGTCTGCTTAAGAATCTTGTATCATCTGGCTCTGTATATTTGTGCACTGATCTTTTTTTTTATCATTGTCATTCTTTCATTAAGGAAGAGCTTGACTGTACTGTGTGCAATCGTGGTGTACAATTTTTCTAAAATACGGCACGGCAAAGACAATAGCCCAACCACTGCCCTTTTGATGCTGAAGTGAAATGTTGATTGCATTTTATATAAAACGAAAGAGACCTTTTTTACTTTGATTGTACAGGTTTTATTTGCATCTGCACATTTGCACAGAACCTTGGGACCTGCAAGGGAAGTCACTCCCGTGTTTGGTGCAGTGTTTGTGTCGAGCTGACAAACACAGACAAGCTCCCCTCGGATTGTTTAACTGGTGCTAGTCACAGCAATTACACCCCCCATCAAGAGGCACATTCAAAGAATGGGTTGGCTTGTTTATTTCGCTTATTTGTAGGCGTTCACACTCAAAGGGCTAATGTCAACATCCGGTTAATACAGTTCTTTAAAACGAATGATTGACAGTTCAAAGAAAAAATATATTTGATAGTGCTATGATAAGGATTCAACTTCTGTGTCCATTGTTAACATTGTTAAAGCTGTTTGTGTTATCAAGTCATCCAGCATGTAATATCTTCACTCTTTCCTTTTATCCCTTTGTGCTCTTTTATTTTTTTCCCCTTTAAAGCTTCCAGATCCATATTTCATTAGAGACCCCCTCACTTTCCTCCTTAAGTCCACATTCATGAAGGTATTTTCTTTCTTCATATGTGTTCGCTTTCCTTTTTTTTTCCCCCTTTGCTTTGTTCTAAATACAATAAAATCTAGGGTAAACTCCAGAAGGTCCTAACTGCATGTCACTGCAGGTTAACATTTCCACGTCTAACCCCAGTGACTGGAAATGGGAATGGTTAACTGAAGCATGTTAATAGGAAAGGCTTGTCTCTTCGATACTAACACTTGGATGACTCTGCAAGCTGGGAGAGGAGCACCCCTGTGAATTTTTAGTGCATTTCTCCCTTCCAAGTCATGGCTGAGTTAGGATTTGCTTGCATTGTCAAGTAACGCATTGACCCATCACTTTGATGCATATTGATTGTGACACTAGCTCTCTTTTCCCTGCAGGCCATGGAGGCACAAATACAGAATTTTGGACAGACGCCATCTCAGTTACTTATTGAGCCACATCCACCACGGAGTTCTGCCATGCACCTGGTGAGAAACAACGTACTTGATGGGATTTTTTTCATTTCATTTTAGATGTTTTTTTTCCCCTTCTTGTCCATTAAAAAAAAAAAACGTTTTTGCTAACAGAGTCTGGAGCCGACTCGCAGAGTTTTGAGCCTGTGAGAGCTGTAGCAGGGTGAAGGTTGTTAAGCAAGGGTGACGACAGTGGAAGGATTGGTGTTTGAAACGGTGTCCCTGGGTCAAATTCAGACACGTACAACTTGGTCACTCTGCATCTCTGCTTTTATCCTCTTTTCTTTCTTGCCCTTTCTCTGTCTCTTCTGGTGTTACGTACTGTTTCCTTTGGGAATCGTTAATAAAATATCTACAGTACCTTCACATAGCAAACACAAATATATCAGAGCAGTAGTATTGAAGGATCTTGTAGATAAATAAAAAAGAAACTTGGAATGTGAAATGTGTCTGATCATCATCATAAAGCATCATGATGAATTATGATGAATGCATACTGACTTTTTCTTCTGTGCACAGAGGTATCGCAAAAGCTTCTTCCAGGCCAATCTCTTTCATCTCTCTTTGGTGCTGTTCAAGAGTAACCTGGCAATAAATGCATTTCTAATAATTCTGTATTTCTAACCACAGTTTCATTTCTAATTCATCTTCTAATTGTGATATTTTCATGTTTCCAAATTACAACTCAATTAGCAATTTCAGTTTTCCAAATTATTTGTACAGTTCGATACAAAAGTAACAAGCTCACGGGCTCTTCAAAGCCCTGAATCTATTCATTTCTATGCTTAACATTTAATCCCACTAAAGTAGGGGTAGCAGAATGCCTTCTGTATTGTTTTTACCTCCTGAAGCACAAAACACCATTCACCTGAACCTTTTGCAGAAACCTCCATACATAATTAGATTAATTTCTAAAACACTAAATTGCACTTGAATGAACTGGCATGTGGTGTGCTAATGATGCACAAAAGGGATCGGAGGTTGGAAACATAACAGTCCTGTGGCAGTGTCTACAAAGACACGTCATCTGACTGGTGACATTAGTCAGGCAAAACACATAGCCAGTTTTGGTATTTCGTTTGCTGGGGTTAATCATTTGCATATTGCTGTCTGAAGCTGCATATATGTGGTGAACAAGAATTGTACTGCTTCAATGTTACAGCATATACATATGTGAAAACCTGACTTTTGTGCCTTTCAGTCTCTATAACTAGTTGAGATTGTTGTGGATTCTGCCATTAAGGATTTCTTTCTTATTCTTGCCAGGAATACTCCTCATCAAATGTATTTAAACAAAATATAAAATGTTGCGAGAGAAGTGTAGCATGATTCTATAGGTATAAAGAATCATAGGTACATTACACTTATGATCATATGCCATATGTTAAAATAAGTTGATAATCGGTTGAAGTTTTTAAGTAGTTGTTAGTTGATCAAATGTTTCCCTTGTAAAATTTTAAAATGGAGAACAGTGTTTGGAGGACTCCACCACTGTACCGTACCACCACTGTCAGAAAACCAGTTTGCCGTTCGTTAGCTTACACAGTTATAGTGAGATGAGGCTCACTATACAGCAGATATCCAGGGCTAACAGCAACTTTTTCAAGCACAGAGGCTGCAATTCAATTTTTTAAAGAAATAATTTGTAATTGTGCATATTTGTATTGCGTGCAATGAGGCTTAATGTAGTGAACCGTAAGTAATTGAACAGTGAGAAATTTCAGTGATAGCCATGGTATAAGTAAAACTGAATTTGAACCAAAAAGAGCAGGAAAAAAAAGCCCTGACACTTTTTGTTCAGATTCCCTGCATGAAGACTTGCCGGTTGAGTCCCAGAGAGACCTTTTAAGTAAATTCTGCTTAGCCACAGAAACCAATTGATTGAGTCTGCGTTATAGCTTGGCTCTGAGCTCGTCATTCAGTTAATAAAACCTGAAATGTGGGGAAGTGATTTGTGCTTGTTGAGGAAATGTCAGAACATGAAGAACTGCAGCCCCAACCATGTTTGTTGGGTTAAGCCTTGGAGACTTGCATTGGCTTCTAATTGGAGTTTAACCACTAAATCGCCAAACTCTAGTGGTAATAAAACTCCTGTATCAGTGTTAATCAAATTCAGCCCTGTTTGTTTTTTTTAACTTTTGTTTAATGTCAAAACACATCACTTGGCTTTTTTTTTATCTTAATTAATCATATTGGACGACCTTACTGGATTACATTTGTGATGTATTGTCTGTTCAAGTTGTTCAAAACCTGAACAAACTAGCACTCCCTTCAAAAAGTAGTCTGTAACTGTATCTAGGCAGCAGTGTGGCTAAGTGGTTTGGTTCTGGACTCCGGATCAGATGGTCATGGATTCAAATTCTCAAGCGTATGGTATCCTTGAGAAAGGTGGTTCATTCAAATTGCTGTGAATGTAAATGCCTTTCTTTATAACTCATAGCTATATATTAAATAATGAGAATTTTTTTCTCAACTGATGTACCTGATAAGAAAGTACCCTTATTCACTTATGAATTCTGATTATGTTTTTTGTGAAAATATATGACTGATAACTTATATGTGTTTTATGATTAATCAAGTAAATTCAGGGTGAAGTAAACTAACTGATAGTATAAATAGTGTAATTAAGTGATATTGTCTGATATGGGGTAATTAAGCACCCATAAAAGAACTGCGAATATCCTATTAAACTCTCACTTTACAGTCTTCAGTTGAAAGTTAAAATGAAAACCAAAGATCTTCCTGTTAAAGAAAAGAAAAAAACTCAGTCAGGATCATAGCACGGAAGCTGGGCATCACAAAATCAACAATTTGGAATACATTGAAGAAGGACGAAACCACAGGTATAATTACCAATCAACCAAGACTGGATTTGCCAAGAAAAACATCTGGATTTGATGACAGAAATGTTATCAAAGCTGTCAAGGAAAATGTTAAAACAACTCTCCGTGAACTCACTAAGAACCTCCAGGGTGCAGGAACACAGGTATCAAAATCCACAGTTGACAGAAGAATGAAACATCTGAATTACAAAGACAACACTGCAAGAGGTAAACCTCTCTTCAGCACCAAGAACAGAAATACCAGATTAGAATTCTCTTGGAAGTACAGAGATGAACTGGGAGAGTTCTGGGACAACCACATCTGTTAGTATATAAGAAAATGCTTCCATACTTATTGGGTGGTTCTTCAGTACATCATGACAACTGTTGAAAACACAATTAATAATAATAATAATTGCTTACACGTATATAGCGCTTTTCTGCACTTTACAGGTAATGGGGACTCCCCTCCACCACCACCAATGTGCAGCATCCACCTGGATGATGCGACGGCAGCCATAGTGCGCCAGAACGCTCACCACACATCAGCTATCAGTGGGGAGGAGAGCAGAGTAATGAAGCCAATTTATAGAGGGGGATTATTAGGAGGCCATGATTGGTAAGGGCCAATGGGAACTTTGGCCAGAACGCCAGGGTTACACCCCTACTCTTTTCGAGAAACACCACACCACAGAGAGTCAGGACCTCGGTTTTACGTCTCATCCGAAGGACAGCGCCTGTTTACAGTGTAGTGTCCCCATCACTACACTGGGGCATTAGGACCCACATGAGCCGCAGGGTGAGCGCCCCCTGCTGGCCCCACTAACACCTCTTCCAGCAGCAACCTTAGTTTTTCCCAGGAGGTCTCCTATCCAGGCTCACACCTGCTTAGCTTCAGTGGGTTGCCAGTTGTGAGTTGCAGGGTGATATGGCTGCTGGCATGTGTGACCCAACATGTGTGACCAATGCAACAAAGGGGTTCATCAGCAGAAAAAAAGTTGATGTTAGACTAACCAAGTCAAGCCTTGGATTGGTGGTCCCAAATGAACATGTATTTTACAGTACATGCTGAATAAAAATTAAAATCAGTACACCACAAGAACTCACAGTGGCTGCAACTAAAGGCTTGACAAAGCATCTCAGATTAATACGTAGAGTTTTCAAGCTCTAGACGTTGCGGATTTTGAGACATCAATGGAGCCTGAAGTGGGATTCAACAGAGCCTTCAACAGACAAAAATAATTTATGATGACAGGAAATTAAGCATGCTTAGGTAGCCAATAGGATGTAATAAACTGAAAAGGTCGTCAACAGTTTGGAACATACATGGCGGCTACAAAAAAGCTACCTGCAAGTGCATAATGAGACTTTTTTCTCCCCAAGGATTTGGAATATCTGATTTTGCCAATAAATAAGGTACCTGCAGTCATGCTGAACCTTTAAAGAATCAGTTTTATCCATTCCTATTAAAATTGGTTTCTACATAATGCAGCTTTATTCAAAGTAACGATTGGGTATACCATACTGTACATGTGCTCAAACATAATATGAAGTCAGGTTTTTTTTCTTGTTTCAGCAATTGTCATCTTACAATTAATAGAATCTTAACAATTATTCTGTATCCAAAGCTTAAATTATTATAATGGCTGTAAGGATTTTAAGATGACTATTTTTTTAATACTATAATCTCATTTTTTACTCCTTCTGAAACCACCTAACTCTACCCTCCTCAGACCATCCCTGCCTTGAGCAATATGAATTTCCATGCGCTATCCCTGCTGTAGTGCTCTAGTCCTGCATTCTGCTTTCAGGGGAAGGGTATAAAAACTGAATAAGAAACGCTGAGATTGAGGTGCTTGACCAGCCACCCCCTGTGCATGCAGCCTTCCTGATGTCTGTACCTCGTTTTACCTCAAACCTCCACACTAATTGCCTTTTTCCATTCTGTCTTCCTCTTTTCCTTAATGCCACCTCCCTCCTCCTTACCCCCCTCCCCCCATTCCCTCCCCGCTCCTTCTCCCTTTCTCTCTTCTACTCAACAGTGTTTCCTTCCACAGAGCCCTCTCATGTTCAAGGACCAGATGCAGCAGGATGTTATAATGGTGCTCAAATTTCCCTCCAACTCCCCTGTCACTCACGTGGCTGCAAACACGCTGCCACACCTGGCCGTCCCCGCCGTGGTGACGGTCACCTGCAGCCGCCTTTTTGCGGTCAACCGATGGCACAACACTGTAGGTAGGTGACACAAAGGAAACGAAGCCTTCGAGTTGACTGAACCCCCTTCCCTCTTCCTCACTTGGCAGCAGTGGATGCTCAACTAAGAGTTGTGAAGCTGGAACAAATAGGAAAAGATGTCCCACAATGCTATGAACAGCCTGGCTCTATTACTGTTCAGATACCTCTGTAAATTCTAATTATAAATACTTCTTTCTAAAAGGAAACACTTCTCTGAATGCTTATATCAGTCTCTGTACAGTATGTTAGGTGTATGGCACACACACAGGTGGCATCTCTATGGTATGACTAAATGACAAGTTGTTCCTATACTACATCAGATGTTTAAGAATACTTACAGACTTGTCCTTACTTTCAAAGTCTGTAGTATTTCCACTTTGCTGTTCTTTCTCCATTGCTAGTAATTACTTACTCTCATAAGTTTAAGAAATCTCTGGTTTTGCCTTTATGAGACTTTTCTCATTCCAAGGTGGTCAGTTCATATATGTACAAAACATTTTGGTTCTAATCCAGACCATGCCTGGGTAAAGGATTTGAGGAATAAAAATTTCTGTCGAGAGTGTTTCCACATGTTACCAATCACACACGTGTGAAGAACATTACCCAAGGAAATCCCTGCAACACACAGCATCACATTGAGGTCAGGGGCCAAATGCAGTAGATCTTCATGATGGCCACAGAAAAACTTTTAACAAACAAAAGCATTTGTTTCAGAGTTTTCCATCTGTTGTTGTAAATTGATTTCAGGGCAAATAACTGATTCTAGTTAGTATATGAGACTCTCGTATGAGTTTAAATATTTGAAAAGGGTCAGATGTAACACCAATATTTCAGGTTTGGGTACTTTAGTTATTCCATTTCTCTCTATTTTCTTACTGGTAGTATTGTTGTTGACCTATAAGATTGTTCCTATAAAAATAATAGAGCAGGAATAAATAACAGGGCAATCTGTTTCACTATCATTAACAAAAAATAAAGGCTGTAAAATAATTAAAACTAATTAACGGAAAAATATTTATCTTTTACGTAGTTAAAATCTGAACAGTTTGCAAAAGCAGAACATGCTACCATTTATTTTTTAAACAAGCTGAATTCCTCTTAAATGCAGAAGTAAATGCTGTATTTCATTTGAAGGAAGGGATCATACTGTCAGACATCTGAAAAATGAATTGCAAACAAACAATTTAAATCAACAGGGTGTGCATTTTAAGAAAAGAGCATGTTTTTTCTCTTTGCAAAATAGCAAATTATCCACTAGTGTCATAGTGGTACTGCAGTAGTACAACATGGATATCATGTGACTAAACACTGTTGCTTAGAGAAATAATCAGTGGCATGACTAAATAGCCATCTTTATTGAAGGCTTTAAATAGCTGAAATCCCATCCCAATGTTAAAGAGCATATCTGGTCCTTTCAGCCTCGGTGGTGCAGTACATAATGGGCAGAGTGGAATGGGTGTCAAAAGGAGTGTGTGTGGTGAGAGAGAGATAGTCTTCCTTGGTGACATGTTGTGTGTCTGTGCGCAGGTCTCCGGGGAGCCCCAGGATATTCGCTGGAGCAAGCTCATCACCTGCCCATTGAAATGGATCCGTTAATTGGTGAGTCCAGCGCCATGGCCTGATAGAGGCTCAAGACAGACTTATTAATGCATCAGGCAGAAAAAGGCTCACTGCTGACCATGTGGTGCGAGATATCAGGAAAATGTCACTAGGCTCGCGGTAATGGTGTATCAGATTCTCAGGAAATAGATATGTTTTGTAAGTACAGTATATTACACTGGTGCTCAGATGTTTTCTTTTCCATCAGGAGCAACACACATTCCAAGGTCACATCTGCTTTGTCCTTACCTTTACGTATTGAAGACAGGACTGTTTACTAGCAGTAATCATTAGTTCTGGGAAGCACACATTGTTCCCATGATTGACATTGAATGCAATGTGTACAGCTTAAGGATCAGTGTGATGATGTGTCTTGACACCTGTTATTGACCCAACAAAACAGAATCTATGACATTCGTGTAGTACAACACATGACTCCGTAAATTACTTCTAGTGAAGATCCTGCTGTGCTTCAAAAAATATAATTTCAGGGCTTCTGAGTGACTTAACATGGTAAACGTGCATGGTTGTGCACAGGTTGAGCTCTGTGGTCACAGGTTCGAGCCTGGGTCATATTCCTTACTGACTGGTAACTACAGCTGACTCTGACCTGCGTTCCCCAAGCTGTGAAGCACAATTAGAGTTCTGCAGAGGCCAGGATGGGATTAGTCTGCCAGAGACAAACACAGAGATCCTTGTGGCCTCCCAGGTGCTTGAGCTTTGTGGTGCTGTTGGTAAGGGACAAAAGTGAAATTACTCTGAGGCAGGCAGGTCACATCCATGAGCCAAGACGTGAAAAAAATACGGTTGGGGATTCCAAAAATCAGATGGGAGTAACAAAAAAAAAAGTCTGGTCAATCGATAGTGATAGTGTTTGCATCTATGTTTATGCATCAGTTGTTATACATTTGTAACTGGATGGTATTTCCTACAATACCTGTTAAATCTTCTGCCAATCTATTTTCTTATTATTTTAGCTCAGTGATTTTTAAAAAAATAAGTTATTTACTAAACGATATCAAGTTAATTTGTTTGCAGTACCGATGATGCAGCTGTAGGATTTTTAATCTGACGGTCCTTTTTTGGTTCGTGAATTTTAACTTAATATTGTCTTTTTCAAGCCAATAACTCTGGGATGAACAAAAGACAAATCACAGATCTGGTGGACCAGAGTATCCAAATCAACACACACTGCTTTGTGGTGACAGCTGATAACCGCTACATTCTTGTCTGTGGGTTTTGGGACAAGAGTTTCAGGGTGTACTCTACAGAAACAGGTAAAAGCAAGAATGGCCTGCACAGCTAAGTTTATTAGATATGATTGGGATGACTGTGATTTCTGTCCGTGAAATTATATTCTATAGAAATACAATTTTTAGAATGGTAATTGCAGTGTAGCTTGTTAGTTTGTGTTAATTTGGTTTGCAAAATGTCTGTAGTTGTGTGCCTAACCATTTTATGATAATTTTACGAACTGATATGTGAAAGTGATATGAATTGACTTTATTTTTAAAGCCCCACTTACAGAATGAAATATTACTAATCTGCTTTAATGAACTCAACAGACCTTGGTGGCATTGTCCCTTTCAGAGTTTAGCAATGTCAGATTGTGCCTATCACACTTTTTGTTTTGTTTCCATGATTAACGGGTACAAAACCAACATACAGACAGTATGGGTTAAATCCTAACATTCTTCAAAAAGTATACCCTTCCATTTCTTTTCTATTTTTCCTCAGGTTACCTCATTAGATTAGAATTTGTTGTCTGTCCTTCTGTACCTGTATGAGTTACGGAATGGTTCTAAAATCATTGTTTGCTTCCTGCAGGCAAGCTGACCCAGATTGTGTTTGGTCACTGGGATGTGGTAATGTGCCTGGCCCGTTCAGAGTCCTACATTGGCGGAGACTGCTATATCGTGTCTGGGTCAAGAGATGCCACTCTGCTGCTCTGGTACTGGAGTGGAAGACACCACATCATTGGAGACAATCCCAATAACAGTGAGTGGCAAGAGAAGATTGCAGTGCTGCACAGGAAAACAAATACAATTATCCTCATAACTATCTCCGTAATGCCATTAACAATCAAAATGAAATAGACAAACTATTGCTAGACCCAGTTGTTAGAGTTACCAAACACAAAGATAAATAAAAAGAGAGTTCCTTCACATTCAATGTAATATATGTGGAAGTTGTTTTTGATATCATCTCTCTCAGTGCCCTGTAAATGAAGCAATCTATTTTGCTTTATTCCTAATATTTTATTTTACTGTGTTTTTATTTTGAAACCAATGAATACCCTTGTTTAGTTGATGTTTTAATTGGATTAAATCATTGGATTTAGTACATATCTCTTATGTGTGTTTCTAGAAATTATGAAAAGGTTACATTTTGGTCATCTTTGAAAGATTTCTTTTAATGTGCAGAACCTTGAGCTAGTTTCAGTTTATGCCAATCACTGTAATCTACACACCTGAATGCAAACTAGTTGTATTCAAATTAAATACCTCTTTCAGAATGGTCAGATATTCTGCCATCTCAGATTGTGGACAGTTTTACTATCACCCACCCCCACAATAACTATGATTGACCAAATTATTTTACTATGCCTCATAAATCCCATTTTCAAATGACATTTCAGTATGTAGTTATTAAAGACTGAAGATTAAGCCAATCACACAGGTTCAAATACTATTACTTTATCTTATTTATATTAGCTACAATATTCCTCCATACTGTATATCACTCTAGATCACATCTTATTAAGCAGTTATTTGGAATACCTTCTTGTATCTAACAGGGAAATTCAAGAGCGAGGGGGGGCAAAAAGTTAGTTTTTTCTGGTTTCTTAAATTCTGTCCAGAGGTTACCTGATTGTAACTGCGATAGGCTAAAAAGGCATTAGGATGCCTGTGTCAACAAACAGCACAGTACCATGCAGAACAGCAAAGAAATTTCTTATTCAAGCCAGGCAGAAACAAAATCTCTGTGTGGTTACTTATTCCAGCTGGTATTCAGTGGTGTTTGATTCTGAGGTGCAGTGGGAAATAAGAATTGGGGGGTGGGGTGGCGTTTCCAAGTGTCAGATGTTAGAAGAATATCGGTTTAGGTGCTAGAATTTTATAATTAACTTCAGTGCAGCGTAGACAGTTAATTAAGAATTTCAGCTTGGTTGCCTCCAATTAGTAAAGGGCAGATTCACTCTTGTTAGCAGTTGTGGAAAACAGAATCCCCCAGATATTTACCAAGATAATGCTTACTGTGCAGCTTCTGGAAACAAAGAATTTTTACGCTCACCTCGAAATTAACAAAGAAAAAGAAAATAGAAAGAAGAAGGTATGGTGATAGTATCTTTCATTTTGCCCCAGGAGTGGATTTTTCAATTACTATATTATTTCTGTTCTTTTTTTATTTTTCAATGTAATACTTTGGCTAAAGAGTTTTTTTACAGATGACCAATAATAGACACCAAGTTGTCAGTTGTTCTGATTGAGGATATCAATCTCAAATATCAGTGGAGTTCATCAGTTATTATTGAATTATCGTTTCATCTGAGAGACATTATTAAACCAGACACTAATTCACCAAGAAAGGTGCATTTTTTCCAAAAAATGAAAAAAAAAATCAATTACAATCATACAAGAAGCACATTAGTGTATTTGGAAACAGATTGCTGGATTGGTGTACTGTAAATCATAATTTAAATAAAAGTCCCAAAGAACTGAATGTGGTCATTGGCATAATAAATTTGAGTTCCTCAACCCAATTCATGCAATTTAGTCTTGCAAAATGTAGATTAATCACTCAGTAACCAAGTATAATCTCATTCTGATATACAGCAATATTGTAATTTCATGAAGATAAAGAATAGTCATTTAGAATATTCTGTACGGCTGTGTTTACCATGTTATAGAAAAATATTGCTCCTCTAGAATCAGTCCAGAAAAGAGCAACCAGATACAATCTGAAGCTTAATGGAATGTCCTACAGGCTGCAGGAGCTGAACCTTTTTAGCCTTGAATGGAGAATACTACAAGGGGATCCAAGTATTCAGAATCCTCAAAGGTACTGCCTGTAGACTTCTTCAGAATGAACAGTGAATCATGACCAGAGGACATCCACTAAGTGAGAACTACAGTATGTGGATCTGCATGTAGATAGATACTTTATAATCCCGTGAGGGAAATTGTAGAATGTAAAACTAAGAACAAGTGGCATTGCTTTACCCACAGGATTGTGGGTAAAGAAGATACCCAAACATGTTGTTAAAGCAAACAATTGGATGAGATCCTTGGATCAGTTAGCTACTAGCTACCAAACAGGCTAGATGGGCCAAATGGCTTCTATTCACTTTTAAGCTTATGTTGTTAATCAGTTCCACAGCGTGTAATGGACCACTCATTAGAAACAGAAATGCAATGAAAAAAATGCCTTCCATTTTTCTTGAGTTGCCATTGCCTTTAGGAAAGAAACATCTTGTTGAGCATGTGCTTAACCTCATAAAAAACAGCACACTCTAGTGGGCTATTTTTAAAATGAAACCATTTTTGAACTGAACTTGTTCATCAGTTTGTAATACAATGCTTGCATTAAAATTTCTCAGATGTTATTTTCTTGAGCTAAAATTATGCTAAGCCCAGGTTTTTTCCCTATATTTATACTAAGAATACATAATATAGATACCCAATATACCACACAGTAAGAAACATTATGTACTCTTAATTTTGCAGCTCATAAGAAAGAACATAAGAAAGGTTGCACATAGTAGGAGGCCATTTGACCAGACTTTTCATTTGATAGTGTAGTAATTTAGTACACAATGTGTTGTTATGAAATTTAAAAAAACTTGTATTAAACTGTTTCTCAGTAGACATATTCAATTACTTGTCAGATAAAAAGTTATTAAATGGCAATTTACTGTATGTTATGACAATAGAAAGCTGTAGTAAAAATTTTAGGCTTACAGTTGTTAATTTTTAGTGTTAGCAATTATTGTTTCTGAACAGGGTGTGCAGATGGTTATTTTTCTGATCCTGCACCAGTATTTATACTACAGTATGTAAACCTTATTTAGAAGTCATTGGTTTTGCTTTTTGAGAGGGAGTGTTTAAATAGTTTGGCTTTCCATTATCTTCCTTAAAACCTATAAAACTATTGTGGGGTAAAACTATACACCTGGGGTAAAAATAATTATACAACTCAACAAAAAATAAAATACATTAGGAATAGAAACTAGTCCAAAATATTTCAGTTGTCTTTTCATCTAGTAATAATGGTAATGCATAATTCGTGTTGCATTTTAAGTCTTACACAGCGCAGGGCTGATCTTAGTGTTAAAAAATGTTCTTAGATGTGTGATAATTCAAATGATTTCCACCCCAATCAACCCTTGTCCTCCCTCTACGAACCTATTCCTACAGTGTTAAAAATGAATTTGCACAATCTAATTGGAGCAGCAAGGAGAGGGGGCCTCCTGAGGCATTTGGCAGATTGAATCTTTTGTCAGATAGGCGAGCTGGACTTGACTTCCAGTCCCCGGGAGGACTGTGCTGAAATATATTCCATTCAGTGCTGCCATTGGTGTGCTTTAGAGGTATCAGTGCTATTCAGGACCTGTCTCTGCGGCCTGTAACTTCATCGATTGGGACCACAGTGTGAAGCCTTTAGTTGTGGCCCAGGGACTGAGGAATTGTGGCTTCCTGTTCTGTGGAGCCTGCTCCTATCCCGGAGCTGAAGCACTTCCAGCCTGAACCCTAACCCTTTGAGAACGTGTGTGCAAGTTCTATCACCACAGTCTTCCTTGATTTAGGCTGTTTTTTTTTTTAACCTTTTATTAACCAATGAACCCAATTAAGGAAAAATGATTACCCATTATTTACATTCAAAGACCCACATGTGAATGTATCGTGCAGTTTCTATAAAAGCTTTGGAGTTTTTGCTTAATTGCTTGTGCAGCTAAGGGAGTTCTTTATACGTCATGCAGTTTTTGTTTCAATGTTTTTGTGGTAAAATAACTAGCGATTTTAATTATTGTGCATCTGAGAAGCACAAAAAGTAAAAAAAAGGTTTCATTTTCCAAAATATTCCAGTCTGTGCACAAGTAGATCGAGGTGGTTACTAGCCCTTTAGATGATGGCACACATTAATTAATTTTTCTTCTCGTTATCTTACCAATGTAAGTCTTAGGCGCTTCCTGTTCTTTAGGGACAGAGCATTTTTTTTAAACCAGCCTGTAGACAGACTGTCACAAACAGGTTATTAGGAAAAGCAGATAAGATCCTACATTGGGAAGGTACAGACTGGGTGTTTACTACTCCCCTTTAGGAGTTCAACAATTTCCACTTAGATACTGCATTGCCTTGTGGTTAATTAAGATAATAATGATCATGTTAATTACACAACAGGGTTCTTTAATAATCATTTCCTGCCTGGTTAATTGGAAGTAATTATGCCATAGCTCAGTTAACTGCGGGAAGGCAATAAATTGGTGCTGTCGTGTAGATCTTTTGAGAACTCGCTTAGTGTGGAGATTTCTCACCTAGTTTCATGGATGGGAAAGAGATTTCTTCCAAATGGGTGGGGTTGTTGAAATGAGGAGGACAGATGAAAGAAAATCTGAAACAAAATGAATAGACGCAATATCACATCAGAAAATAATAGTGGCATAAGATGTGCGGTTGGATTTAATCTAAGTGTCTTGTAGTAAAGAGCAATTTGGCTTTAAATTAAAGGTCAATTTCAACCTGAGAGAAAACAGAATGACCTTGTTGTCTCATTGCAGCATATTATCTCCTGAAATCTTTTGAAATGTTTTGAAGATGCAAAAAATATTTTACAAAATGAAAGGTTTATGTTCCTCTAGTAGATCTTTTTTTATTTGGGCTAGAAACAAGGCCATTCACTGGAGTCTTCCGTCAGCCAGTTTGTTTGTTCTTGATCATTTGATCCATCTGTTTATCCATATATCAGTAGAGACTTCTTCTTAACCAGTTGTCTTTTTTTGTTTTTACCCTTTCTCCTAACTGAGGTGTTTTTTCTCCTTGGTTTTGCATTTTGGAGACATCTATTTAGTGCTTCAACTCAAAATTAAAAGCCAGAGAGGAATAATGCAATAAATAATGTGCCACTTGGGTTAATTGATTTCTTTATTAACCCAAAGAAACCTATAAAATGAGGAACTTCTATATCTTGCAAAGGGCCTTTCTTCTCAGTAGCAGTTCAGGTCATAAAGTAGAACTGCACATTTTTCTAAAAATGACCGCGTTGGCATAATATCGTCGACTGATCCAAAATTTTATTTGACTCACATCTGTACTCTGAAACCTCATAGTGAACTAGCACATTCAGAAACTGTTTATGGGCTGAGTAATGAACCCTAGCACATTCATTAATGTTTCAAACAGACTGCACCTATATAAAGATATGTATGTAAACAATTTAATACCTAACATGTACATAAATGTATCTTCAATGTCTCTAGGTCTGTATATGCATCATTATTTAAAGAAGATGCAGTTCATCTGATAATTTAGGTAATCTATATGAGGGCACTACAATTCATTGCATTGAAATTATCCCATTTTTGCTTGTATTTCAGCTGCAGTGTGTATGTGCTGTAGGTTTTATTACCTGTTCCATTCTTCCTTTCAGGTAGAGATTGACTACAGGGTTCTGCAGTCAAAACCTCAAACCTCCAGTGACTGAATTATAGATTTTAAATTTCAGAGTCATTCTAGTTTAGTCAGCATTAGGTCCCTATCTTTCCTTAGAGTTCATAAGGATCAGTGAACCCCCAATATACCCCTTTATAGGGGACTTTTGATATTGTCAAGTAGCAACTTTTGCATGATCTCTGAAAGCCAGTATCGGTTTACTGTGAAAAGCTGTCATTAGAGGAAAAAGACACTTATTGTGCATTTTTGGTTTTCTAGTGTTGCAGCTCTTTCTAGAAGGGAAAGGGCTTTTCATGTGCCCATTGGGTAGGTTTCTTTAAATGCCTTCTTTCTAAATACCTTCTTTGTCTCGTATTGCAGGTGACTACCCAGCGCCCAGGGCTGTTCTGACTGGTCATGACCATGAGGTGGTCTGTGTGTCTGTTTGTGCAGAGCTGGGATTGGTCATCAGTGGAGCAAAAGGTCAGCCCTAACTGACAGCCTTTCAGAATCTTCTAGCATTCCTGCAGGACTCCTTATAGGACTAAAAAAGATTGTAAAAGAATACCATAAGAAGCAATGGATTTACAGTACATATGTCCTTGTACTATCTTTGCCTTATTCAGAGTGTTCTTGTCTTATTATTTATTCATTTGTTTGCAGACACCTTATTCATGGCAACTTAATATTATTGAATTAACATTAGATTAGGTAAGTAACAATTGTACCTATAACAAGATAATAAAATGAAAAATAAAACTAGGAAAAGCTAGAAGTGTGCTGCAAGCACTTGGAAAAATTAAATAATCAACTGCATTTCACATTTAAGCAATCATCTTAAAGCATTAATAATATTGTAATAATAATGTTTAAAACAGTACACAGTACTCAATGAAGAGTGTGTAATTGAGATCTGAGAAGACTCAGGTGTTGGCTTGTGTAGAACTGTTACTTGTTACTGTATGTCATGCATGAGAATGGTGTTTTTCTTTTTCTATATTCAGAAGGGCCTTGTCTGGTTCACACTATTACGGGAGACCTCCTTAGAGCCCTGGAAGGTCCAGAGAACTGCCTCTGCCCACGTCTCATCTCTGTGTCCAGCGAAGGCCACTGTATCATCTGCTACGAACGAGGGAGGTTCTGCAATTTCAGCATCAATGGCAAACTCTTAGCCCAGATGGAGATCAACGATTCAACTAGAGTACGTGCTTTCTACTCACCAACACACAAATCATAGAACAAATGTTTCATTTTTGTCTCTCTTCCTGCACAATAAAGACACGTGAAGAGAATGTTTGAACAAGTTAGATTTATTACCACATTTTTGATCAATAGACAGTTTCGAATGATGTCTCATTTTGTTTTTTGCTTTGTCATTGTTTAACCGTTTTGTTTTCAACATTTCTTGAACCAAAATCTTCAAAAAGCAAATATTGTATATTTACTCCTTCAGAGCAGAGAAAACCATTTAAAATGTCAGAAGGGGCCCACATTGTATATTGTATAGACAGAAAAGACTTTGCTCTCAGGAGCCTTGTTCTGAAAGCCATTGTGATCTGTTTTTGTAACAGGCCATTCTCCTGAGCAGTGACGGCCAGAATCTGGTGACAGGAGGGGATAACGGTGTTGTGGAAGTGTGGCAGGCTTGTGACTTCAAGCAGCTCTACATTTACCCTGGTTGTGATGCTGGCATTAGAGCAATGGACCTATCACATGATCAAAGGCAAGTTTTTCAGTGGCTGTTTCAGGTGGTTTTGTTGTACTGTACGTCTTGCAGACAGTAATCTGACCCAAAAGATTTTCAAAGCATAAACACGTGCTGCATCTTATGAGAAATCCAAAATATTCCATGACCAATCAGCTGTTTTTTACCTTTCCAAGAAAGTTTGATTTAGGCAGAAGTGCATATATGGTCCCTGAAAATGACAGCTACCACTAGACTTGAATCTAGAAAGTTTCTTTATCTCGAGTCTCAATTGGATTTTATGTAATAAGATCGTGTTACTGCAGTTACACTATCTTTCATGAGACATCAATATGTTAGTGGAAAAAAAAGAGCTATTTGTTTTCTCTAATAGAAGGCAGTTACCACAGATACCTAGACAAAACTGTTATGAATTTACAGTTGAAAATGCTCCCCGAGGCAGTGCGGGCAGAGGCAATATATACAGCCATGTCTTTTGACGCATATGCACGTTTATATATATTTTTAGTATAAGGGGTATGTAAAATCTTTACTGAATTGTTTGTAAGAAGGAAGGTGGCTGGCAATTGTGTGTTAAACACACATATTCCATGGTGGTTAATATGGAAAATGAAAGTATACTAAATTAGATTTGCAGCATGTCATTGTTTGCTGTTCAGGCACTATGAATTCCAGATTTTTCTACCCCCAGCCTTCCCTCCTCCCAACAGAATTCAGTGTCGTGCGAACAGCACAGAAGCTGGGTTGTTTGAGTTCCCTAATCAGAGTTCATCCTCTACATCACCAGATGACCCAGGAAACTGGGAGGTGAAGGGCCTAACTGCTCACTCACTATTGTTGACCCAGATCAAGTCTGTAACACTGCAGAGATTCTGGGAAACCCTTGTAACTGATATTTCATTCTTCTGATGCCTCGTCAGAGTACAACAGCTTTTTTTTTTTACTCAGGAGGTGAACTTCTGATTTAGTAACAGTATTTCTTACACGTTAGATTTATTCTGCACCCCATAAGATGTAATACCATTTTTCTCTTCATGGGAACTTTCAGTCACTGAAAGTCTGGGTTTGTAGAAATCCAAAGATCTCTTTTCATTTAGAATAAATATCCTGTTATTCTAAAGATCCAAAGTTTCTCAAATGCACTGTTTAAATTTAAAAAATGCAAATGATCAGTTAGCACAGATTCAAATTACCCATGAGGCCAGTACTTTGCAAATACTCACTATTATTTCCCACATTTGCTTAAATTGATTTGAGTTCCTTTTGAATATTAATGTGTATCATGCCAGCTTCTGGACTAAGTTATGTAAAAAAGATAAATCCAAAGATGTTAAGAAAGTGATTTAGGTTCTTGTAATTATTTGCTAATAACAAGCATCGGAACTGGATCCTGGTAGCTTGCTCCAACAAGCTTCATGCATTAGAAATCCTGAGGTTTCTTTAAACTATGTTCTGTGGTGTCAACATGATGTCCCCTAAGGGTGTATTAATACATCTTGACCCTGTGAAATCAGCTAGTTTTCCCTACATACCACTTGCTCCTGGACACTGCTGCAGATGTACAGTCCTTCTCAATGGTGCCCTTCACATGTCAAAAGCTGCTGTAATTTATTGTCACATCTGCTGCTGACCTCACTTAAGCTTAATGCACCATTTTGTCCCCTTAACAAGCACCTTGAAAATATACAGAGTGCTATTATTTTATATACTGCATACATTCATTTATTCCGTTGGGCATCAGAACTTGTAATGAATAAGGAATATATAACCCATGTACCAAAATGCAGTTTAAAGTGCAAAGTACAGAAAGAGCAAAGCGAGCTTAGCTAAACAACATTTAATGAAAAGCTTTTTCCCAATTTCCAGATGGTATGTACAGTATTATTCTGTTCAGTCATTCTCAAGCATTGAGGAGCCACTGTGCACTTTGTAACTCTTTAGAGCAGAGCTGCTAGCCTGTGGCTCCTCAAATCCATCCCATTGCACAATTTTGCTACAGCCTGCTTCTTGATTATTTCATTGATAATTAGAAGGATCGATATAGCAGTAAAGCTGCTGGTTACATCAAGAAACAGTAAGGGCCCCAAGTTGAGCCCTGTGTTGGAAGTTTGTTTCCTTCATGTGATCTTGTGATTTTTGCTTGCTTTATCTCTTTTTGGGGAGTACATTTTAATGAGTAAACAAAAACACTACCCTCTGGGGATTTACTCCTACCCCTTATGGAATAGGAACAAAAACTATCATATAGCTGACTGAGTTATCGCTTAGATAACGTGTCTCACTTATAAAACCCTAATTATGTTATACTGTACTTTAAAACATGCCAACCATCATCGGGATGACAATTCAAACTATTTCTTATGGTCATATGAAACAAAAATAGCTTTTTAAAATCCACATTAGCGTTTTTTTCAGCATTAAAAGATTAGGTTCATGTTGAGAATTTGCTTCAAGTTGTTTTGCATCTACATATCCTAGAGCTTTTGTCAAGATGGGGGAAATCATGAACCCCAGCATATACCAGGACATTTTGGCCAGACATCTGTTTGTTTCTGCCATGACCAGTTGAGAAAATTAATGTTCTCAACTGGTCGTCTCAATATCCAACTGAATATGTATATTATAAGTATATATATATATAAGTTAGCTAACGGGCTGAAATGGTCTGAAGGCCGTAGATCAATTTCCCCTCTGAAATGCCAGAACCACATTATACACTGCTAAAGGTGGCTAGTCGATGTATTTCCCTGCTGGAGGAGGATTTTCAAAATACTAACCACTGGAAAACTGAAGTGTGAATACATGTGAGCAATGTCTTTTCTGAAAATTATTTATGGCAAATAGATTTGTATAACATTTTTAAGCTGTAATGTGAATTTTTATTTATTTTTTCTTGTTCCTATTTCAACGGGGGGGTGATGAATAAAGTTGGATGGCAGTGTATATCCAAAGCTTTGAGAATGTACATTTATGATCTGCTCTTGGCAAGAAGAGCCAAAAGACATTACTCAGGGTGTGGCAGGTAGGTTTCAAACTACCTACAGAGAAGCAGCCTGTAGCACATTAGCTAATTATCAATGAAATAACTATTAGCCTTAATTTTATGAAAACTTACTGTAGAGTTGCCTCAAGTACTCAGTAGCCCTTCAAGTGATTAATATGCTCTTGAATCTCCCATTTTGTTTCTAAAATTGTGTTTTCATGTTGCACTGTGTAATTGGATGGGCTTGTGTCTTTTCCCATTTTTGTCTACCTCAGGACTCTCATAACTGGAATGGCATCCGGAAGCATTGTGGCTTTTAACATTGATTTTAACCGGTGGCATTACGAGCATCAGAACAGATACTGAGCAAGGAGTAAAGAGGAGCCACAGGGGAGAGGTCAGGACCAGCCCAGAGGAAACGGGCTGCCAGGGACCTTCAGTGTCACAAGAAACGTAACAAACCCCACAAGCGACTCCAGCATCAAGCCTCCTGTTGTACATTCCATAATGCCCGGCAATAGAGCAGTACATTGTAGAGTTAGAAAAAGTTTCCGTTTGTGTTTTATTTCACGCCTGAGCACCAGCTGCTGATGAGAAAAAACGCTACCTTGTGTCACGTGAACTCATGAATCCGAAGAACAGAGTCCTGTCAGTGTGATTTCCAGTCCAGTTCTTTCTAATAGGGAGAGGTGGAAGCTTTCATCTCAAAAGACTTTCAAACAAACCAACATAAAGTCCAGAACACTACTCCTCTGAATGGTTAAATAATCAAAATGAAAAACTATTTTAGACTAAGCTTTTCGTCCTGACTTAAGTCATATTTTTCAAGCTGTGAAAAAAAAACAGAACCACATTTGATACTTTGTACATCAGATGCACATCTTACCTTAAAGGGATACTTTTTTAAAAGTAAAACCTTGTATAAAAGAACAAAGAAAAGTTAAAAAAGCATTTCTTATCCAGATGTGGAGTTTCATTGTGCATGTATTGTAAATCTGGTGTATCGGTGGAACAGATGCATTTACAAAGCCTAATCCTGAATATCAGTTAAGTGTGTTGGCTTGGTTTTTAGAGAGAGGCCTCGCCACATTTTCACAAAAGGATTTCTTTTCTCAAGCCACCCATCTATCTTTGGACACATGGCAGTATGTCATGAATAATGTTTACCTGTTCATTCTTATTTTTACATCTAGTTACTACTTGGGATAATGTCCAATGTAAAAAATCATGAAAAAACACTTTGTTGAGTTATTTCCATGATTCTTCTAACTTTTGTTTTTAAAGTGATGGATAGGTAATAAGAAAAGTCCATTCTTGTGCTTAACAATTAAATATATATAAATAGAAATCTTGTAAATGCAGTTTGTTTCCGAATCACAGTGTACAATTATTTCAGAAGGAAACAAAGTTCATTGTGAAATTTTCATCATTGTCCACTTTTCAGGTCACTACAGGTTTATTTATTCATAATTTACTGTATGTACAAAAAAAAAATAAAAAATGGGTTATTATGACAGGTCTTTCCTGCTTAATATAAAACTCAGATGACACATCCAGGGGTAAACGGTTAAAAAAAAAACTTCATGTTCTTTGTATATTTGGTGACTGTTTTGTCATAGATGTACATATTGTGTTGGTAGGGCTATGAGGCATGTAATGGGAATGTAATTTTCTCAAGACAAAAAGAATTACACTCACTCTCAGTCGTTTATTTAAGAGGAATTAATTAATGGAATCTTTGTATTGGCACTTTGCACCAGAAACATATCATTATTTACTGCTGTGATTACTTATTTGTCATCCACCGTGTATTAGTAAATTTTAGCACTGAATTCTTTACTCATTGTTGTTTGTATTTTAAGACTATGAAATCATGGGGAAACCAGTGTAGCGATTAAGTTGTACAACCACAAGTCACGAAGCAATATCATGAGTTTGTAGCTTAGAGTGTGGGGAAGGGGGGGGTATTTAGGCATCTGGATCAAACACATGAAAAAAAGCTTAAAAAAAAGGTTCATGCCATCCAAAAAAATTATGGTGAAATATTTTGGATATATAAGATCCTAAAGCTATTGTAACCATGTTTTATTGCAAAGATGTAAAATATGCTAGATGTGTGTGAGTTGGAAGTTTAAAAAGAAAATAAAATATGCAAAGAACTCAATGATTTGCCTTTTCTTTTTCCATGGCGTTTGTACGGAAACCATCCAAAATGGAACCGCTTGTGCATGAAAAGAACAATTCAGTTCTGTGGATCATGGTCCAGTACTGTAATTTTTCTTTCTTTTTCTTTTGCTGTTTTTGCTTTGTAATTTTGTTTTCTAATAATTGGAGATGCTGAAATATTTAATTTTCAAAATGGTGGATAGGTTGCGGTCCTATTGTAATATTGGGAGACACTGTTGAAGAAGCACTATTTCTGTTATTTATATTTAAATATAGTATTGTTTTTATCATATTTTTGGTTGGACAATAATTACATTATGATTTCTTAAGTTAACTGTCTTTAACCTGCTGTTTTATGTGTATGTCACAATTTAAATAAGACGAAAATTTTCACAAAGTGTTTGTTGAGAACCGTTTAAATATTAACTTATGCCAATATAAAGAGCGATACCTGTAAAATAAAATCAAATGGTTTCCTTTTTTGTCGTATTTATAATAAAAAACAAAATCAAAACACTGGCAGTGAGTTTTTGATTCCAGAGGATTAAGTTCTGATACCTGAATTTATCTTTAACTTCCTGCATGAAATAGGATTCAAACTTGATTCTAAACTCTCCCATTATTTACCAAATGGAACCTAATTCATTTCGTTGGGATAAAGCTAGCAGGTCACTGTGACCAGACCTTATAGGAAGGGCGAATAAGTAATGGTGCAGCTGAGCAGTATGTTTTGCATGGCAGTGCTCTTAGATACCAGTGAACAAGTCAACCGGTTATCACATTTATTACTGCTACAGTACTCTTCATTTGCTGGTATTTAATATAAAACATGGATGACGTGAGTAGATCAACAATGCATCTGCCAGATTACTGGTCTGAACATACATCTACCAATATATCACACCATTATAACACAATTTAATATACTCTAACACTGAGGTGTTGATGTTGGTTGCTGGTAGGGTTTTGAATTGTTTTTGTCGATTGTGGATTGACTCTTATAATATCAGATACTAAGTCTATTATAGACTCTTTTAATTTAAATGAGTACTCATTTGATCATTGAATTTAAATTAAGAGTACAGAAAATGCTGGTGCAATGGTTTAATTATGTTGACCCATTATTGGTGGGATGGACTTCTACCTTGTGTTCTGAACTTTTGGGATAGGCTCTTGATCATTGTGATCCACACTGGATCAATGATGGTGTTTATTCATGTATACCTATACAGTATACAGGGGTAAGTGCTTTGCCACTGCACCTTTGTGCTCTCTGGTTTTGGCATTTAATTCTATACAGTGCTACAGATTGCCTCATAATGGAAGCGATCTGTATTGTACAAGAATAAATCTACCATTTTAGATACTGTACTGTACCTGGGTGTTTTATAAAGAGATTTGCACAAAAGGTTATTCTGGGTGGAAAACACTAGAAACTACAGTAAATCTATATTTAATAGTCATACACAATAGCTCTGCCTAAATGTTATTATTAAGAGAATAAAAAGAAACTAAGCCTAAGTTTAAGGAAAGGATAATGCCAAAGTATGTTTTTCTAGAACTGATACCATGCAAGCGATAGCTACTTCAGCAAGTTGGGGACCAACATAAATGCAATGGAAACAAAGGTTTTATGAAGTCTTTACACATACTGTAACTGAGTATAACTGAGCTAGCTGTAGTTGTGGTATGTGTAACAACCATTTTTCTGCTATTTCTCACATACAGTTTAAGGTGCAGACATCTAATTGCTATTTATCCAGCTGATGACCAGGAGCTCCAATTCACTCAGATAAGGCCAATCAAATAGACGCCAACTCATTAACAAAGGCCACACAAGGGTAATACATGTGTATACCAATCATGCAATTTAAGACTAACATTAGACCGAAACCATTGCTAAAGTTGTGTGACTTGATGATTCTTGCCTATAAGCAGTGACTGTAAAGAGGCTTTTCTGATGCATTCCTTTGGTATGATCCTATGTGTAGAGCAGGCGTGTGAGTGATGGGTGGGGAATGGTTAAATAATGCAATTTACTGTAACATATTTATCAAAGTATTCCAAAGCAATGACCACACAAACTGAACAACAGAATTAACGATAATCATTGCAATGTGACCAATATACATAGATGCGACAACAGAGTAAAAGAGAATATTTCAGAACAGTTCAAATAAAACAGGTAAAAAAATATACTCACCTGAATCCGGAATCCCTCATCAATATCCCATTATTCATTGCTGGCAGCCTGGGTTTGTGAAGAGGTGGAGGGACAAAATTATCGGCAGACACTATTAAAACTGATGTGTGCTTAAACAAAGACAAACCAGTGTCAGTTTTAAATATTGTCTTGTATTTAGAATATTGCTTTGTTTTCCTGTGGTATCCTGATGAAGAGTGGTGAATGTTACAAATTTTTGTGTTGGTGGCCTTACAAAAACACTCTTGCTCTCATGTTTAAACAGCAAATGTGTAAATATTGAGAACAAGTTGATTCCTAGGTCAATGAACTGTGCTTATTTGTTTCACCATGTTTTAAGATTTATGGGGTTGTCTTTTACTCTGACACCAGCTCTTTGGTGAAGTAACACCCCAAAATTAGATTTGTGCATGCCACAAGCAGGAGAGCAGGAGGCATTATATCACAGAGGAAGAGATAGTGGGTAACTATGTTCCCAGAGAAGGCCATGCTCACTGTAATAGAAGAGCATCTTTGGAGCTGTGCTTCCAGGCCTTACTGAGCACTAACAGCCTGGACACAAATTAGAGGGATGGGGTCCCTAGCCAACTAGAAACCCACTTCCCCAGTTAAAGGGAGATAGTGATAATGGGTGACTCAAATATTTTAGCTACAGACAGTGTAGTATTCACAAAGATAAGGAGCGCAGTGTAGTGTGATGCCTACCAGGGAAAGTACAAAGTTTTTATGGTCCACATTGAAACAAATGACACAGAAAAGGGTAAACTGACAAATTCCGCAGGACAAATAAAATAAAAAAAATTAAATTGTAATCCTATTTAATTATTATCATTTTAAATCTGCATGGTTGGATGAAAAAAAAATAGGAAAAGGGGGTCAATCTTACTTGAATAATGTAAAGTTAGCTATAGTTTAAGAAGGTGGTTAAATTAATATTATATTAATATTACTATCACTATTAACTATAATTAATTAGCATTGTAAACTATAAACAGTGTTATTATCAGAGGTGAAATAATGTTTAATATTATTATCACAATATACTGTAGTAGAATGTATCCTGGCAATATATATATATTATTTTTCCCTACGGTATTATTGTTAATACATGCAGGTGACCAGTGTTTCACCTTACATTTCTAGAATTAAACTACACTGATACTGTACAGTGATTGGTTGTGCCACAAGATACAAACTATTACAAAGTCTAAGCATTTCTTTTCAGCATAGAATTGTGAACATGAAAACCCATCTTTTCCTAGCATTTCAACATTTTGTTAATTAAAACGTATTGTTATTGTGGCTGTGCTACCTCAGCTTGGGCATCATTTTAAAGTTGGAATATTTTTCTTAAATGTAGATTGTACAATGATATAAGTGAACCTGCAATGTTGGTAGCTTACAAAGCATTTGAGGGGTAAATATAGGAAAATAAATAGTTTTCCTATTATCTTATTTTATTTTCAAATGAGAGGTTTTGTATGATTCCTTACATTGACAGAATCAACGTAAATTGTATTTGATGTTCATATGAAATGTCAAATGTTTAAAAAAGGTTCAATTAATAGGACTCACCTATATTTAATTTGGGATTGCTAAGAGGGAGTGGCTTTCTTGTACTACAAATACTTAACCATGTAATGTAAAAGAAATAATAAGATTGTATTTAGCATTGTTGGTACACCAATTTACTTCATTTGTATTTACCAAATTGACTTTTTTAGTCAGTTATTACAAGGATTTGTGAGGAGGTATAGGGCCATGGGTCTTAAATTATAAAAGATGTGTGATCATCCGTTAAGCTGTAACACATTATAAAGGACTTTGCCTTCTTTAGCAATGGAAAGCATTCCACAAACTAGAGAAGGACAGTCTCAGGGAGTCATCTCCAAACCAAATGTCTGCTGCCCTCTGCTGTTAATGTATAGAATAAAGTCAATACATTGACCTACAGCAGGTATTTTCAGTCAGGTCCTTGTGATTCAAATTTCTGCTAGTCTTCAGTCTGTCTGAGACCTCAGTTACTTAATTTGATCATTAATTTAATTACAAAAGTATTGTACATCCAAAATATTTTCTCATAAATGTAATTAACAATCATTTTAAAAGAACTGAAAACAATTAATCCTAAATGATAATCAGTCGATTACTTAAGAGGTCAATTAAATAAGTGTGAGATCAACAGTGACGGAACCCAAACAGCTGCTTGGATCTCAAAGACCAAGACTGAAGCACTGATGTTCATGATCCACAAAAAAACCCAAAAAATGTATATAAAAGTTACTCTTTTATACAAATCCTGAGGCCTGGCTTATTTTCCAGCTGGCTTACAATTCACTCTTCATAATTTACCTTTTTTCATGAACTCATGAATCAAAGTATTATCTTTTCTGTAAATAAAAGTATAGGCAGAGGGGTGTTATTTTTACTCTTCTGACCCATGGAGTTCACCCCCACGTCATCGTTACCTGGGCATGAGTCTACATTCTGATTTCAAACAATAAATATTTAATGGATATACAACTGCTAAAGGTAAAATTAATAAGCGAACATATTACTGGTATTAGACATAATGAGCACTACTGAATGCTTGACTCATCTACACTCACAGCCGGTCTGGTATCAAATGACTTCAAAAGCTCTTCATCTAATGCATCTCCCAGGCCCTTTCTTGGTCCTGGTCAGCTCCCTCCATGCTCCTCAGCAATTACTAAGGAATTATTGTAAAGCAGTCTTTTATTCAGAATTAAGCTTTGGTTTCTTATCTGTGGTATCCTGCTAAGGAGTGTTACCAAACTACCATAAGATCTTCTCTGCCAACTAAGAAATGCTCTGCCAACACAGATCAAAGTGATCCCAACCAACCCTTTTTATATTCAGCTCTGAACTAAAGATGGATTTGACCCTTACAGTTTTTCTTCAATATCACAGTACTTGCATTTGTATAACACCTTCTTATCCCATAGGATTGTAAAGTGCTACATATACAGATGGGAAGCACTTTATCCACCAGTAAAAGAAAGCACTCACCTAGAGGATGCGTAGCAGCCACTCCACACTTTAGAGTGTCACTTTAGAACAGTCAGTAGAAAAAATAGGAACTGGCTTCACTAATTCAAGTAACAGGGACATTTAGACTGCAAGTTGATGCTGCTGCTGTCAGACACCATACAGATATTTGCTCCACCAGTTTTCGATTAGTTCTCATCTTATAGAAACAGGAGCTGGCTTAAGAATCATCATAATGATAATGAAGAAAAATATGCTTTCTGTAACTGCAGAATTTCTGAGATTTAATGTTTTTAGGCTTTGTTACCTTCATTCATTGTCTTTCTTCCGAATGGACAACTGCTTAATTAAATCCAACAGGATCTTATCATATTAGAGTGTAAAAGAGGAATAATCCTGCAATTTTCTGTATAATCCTGTAACAATTGCAAACGGATCAACCTATATTTACAGTATTTTATTTTTTCACAAACAGTATGGGAGAACCAACTGATTTTTTTTCCTCCAATGTGAAAAAGCCTGTTATCATATCAGTTACTAAAACCCTCATACCAGATGAGGAAGGACCAAGGCAAATGCGAAACTTGCTCAAAAATCATTCAGCTGCTTGGTTTTGGTATCTGTCACGCAGAAAGGAAGAATGACACAGGCCTTGCTGATAACATTGTGGCTCAGAGACACAATACCACTGGGATTCCAGCTGAATGCAACACTAGCAACTGGATTCAACCTTAACCACTCTGGCAGCACTCAATCAATAGTATGCTTCTAATTAAGGAATCTCAGCCACCTAGTTTTTAGCAATGTTATTGACTTCATTTCTATAAGTCTGGATTAGAGTTTGACATACTTATTTCAATGGTGAAGCCAAAATCATAACTCGTTTCTCAACGGTTTTTGATGGATTTTCCCAATTAAACAGATTTTTAAGGGTTTTGGTTCATTCACTTTTTTTTAGGATGCTTATGTTTGTGGTACAGTACAAATCAGTTATCAGTAAAAAACGGAACAGTTTTTGGCATTTGGATTCCAGCCATTCAGCTGTCACCTTGTACCAAACAAACCAGAAACCTGCCAAGATCTCTCAGTTAGATTATCTTTTGGCACTTACAAATATACTTTTGTAGAAGAAAACACAAACCGTTTGTGAAGGTCTCCTGAGGAATGTCTATAGTAAAGGTTACTCTTATTTATGTTTAGCCACAGTCACTGAAAGCAGGTCTCACCATATGTCATTATGCATACTGAGGAACAGACTCACAAGATCGGCCCTACTGTTATAGACTGGAACTTACTGTGCACAGTACAGAATGTACTGATGAAACAAAGGCACTTCTGCCCTGACTCTCTTGTTTTTCTGTACAGTATAGGAGCAAGATTGTAATACAGAGATTTCATTTTGTTGTATAACAGCCATTAGATGAACAACTGTCACTCATGTTGTTTTTGTTTTGCATTTCTCTGTCTTGTTATTGCTTTTTATTGTATAAAAGCACAAAGGTGTTAGCAAATCTAAGAAAAGGTACAAGATTTGTATTTTCTCCTAATCAAATTATCTTGAATTATTATAAAATATAAGCACAGAATAATATAATGATTAAGGCTACGTTCAGAAGTTACTAGAGTAACTTCCAAAGTCATTTTTTATTGAAAAGCTTTTTTCACTGCTACTGTTCTTATTCTTATTTATGTTTAACCTGATCAAAAAATAAAATAATATTTTAAAAAAAAAGTGAAATCCTACTATGTAATTTGTATTTACAATACAGTATATGCTCAGACTGATACTGATTCAAGAAATGTAGGTTAACATTGACAGGAAACATTTGAGACCAAATGACAGCACCTTTTGTTTAACTTCTTACATAAATTAATTTTCAAAGTGAGTAAGGTCTTAAATTGGAGTTACAAGGAACTGCAGTAAAACAACAACTTTGTAAGTCAACCTATAAAGGTCATGTTCTGATTACTTAATGTCTTACACTTAAAATGAAATTTACCACTGATGACAAGTAAATAAACCAATTTTTTCCAGTCACTTTTTGCTGACAATGCCTGAAAGATAGTCATTCTAGATTTGAGCTGGTGTGCCTACACTTTTATTCTCTAATCTCTTATTCTAGCTTTGAGTGCAGTAAACAAAAATACTAATGTCAATACAGTGCTAATAATAAAATTGTCAACAATACTTTTTTGCCAGATGTAATAAAACAACTATGGAGTATAGTATAAGGAGTCTCAAAACAGGAACTCAGCAGGATGATTGCAAAAATGTCATTAAGCAGGGTGATGATTAATTTAAACAAATAACAAATAACCTAGTGTAAATCTGCAGACCCTTACAATTTCAATACAACTTTGCAAGGCTGCTAAGTGTACAGTATACTGTTTATGGTCCAACTGAACAAATCAAGATAAATAGGATGTTTTACATTGTTTTCCATGCTTCTAGTGGAAAAGAAAAGTAAACACTTTTAAGAAAGCTATTTTCTCAATTAAGAAATTCAGCATTCTAGTTAAATGACAACTGGTAGACTGTGGACTGGGCAACCCAAACTTAATAAACCCCTACCCACATAGTGTACATTCTCACAACTAAATCAGAACTATTTTAACGTGATGATAAAAGAATGTAAATACAAAAGTTACACATTCAGTCAAATTGTATTATTTATTGTTATTGCAGTGACTAGCAAGCAGGAATAGTCAGTTAAAGTTACAATTTGTGGGAACTCTCACCCTCGCCTGTGGCAAGACCAGGGCTTTGCAACAACATGGCGATTTGTTGTCACAAAGTCCATGATTTTGTGCTTATTTCCAAATGTATAACTTTTTTCTATACTATGAATTAATTTTGTTACCAAGACGTAATAACCAGTCTGAGAAATTGGGACTGCGGTTACCCTTTAACACATTAAAGCATACATTCAACATTTAGTCCATACTGATTACTGCATCAACATTTAAAACAATAAACATTATCACAATCCAGAGGAAGGAACAAGCAAAGAAAAACTCTTTTTTCAATAAATTGTTTATTCACAGGTTTGGTTTGTTAACTGCTGAATGCACCACATTAAATCGGATGAAAAGCAGTGACATTTTACGACAGAAGTTGCTTTATTTTCTCTAACATCATTTATGTTGTTGGAATAAACATAACTATTTTGGTCTACAATGTCAAAAACGTGAAAAATCAGAGCTTCCATCATAAAAATGATCTCTTCCCTTTGGAGGTGCTCACAATCAACAACTAGCCTAACAATTCAGCATAGATAACCCAGTTACATGAACAAACAGTCAAATTAAATCTAGGCTCTTTCTTTTGAACGATACCATCCTTCACACTGAGCTGAAAGTAGTCCAAGTTGCCCATTTCACCAATTCACACACTTTTTTCAAGAATTTCAGAACCTTACTTTTATCGCACCATTTGGAATTTGTTAAAACTGTATACCTAGTCAAACACAGTATTACTGATTAATATCTTAATTCTTTTTATAACACTTAAAATGTGAAACTAACGTTTCTTTTTTAAAGAATTTGGTTAAGGAAATCCTGTGGAGAATATCTTTTTTCTTTTTTTTTTTAACTTTTTTATCTTTAACTTAAGCGCAATAATAAAAGCTTCTGTGTCTAGACATAGCAAATGCTAAGTAGCAAAGCGGTTAGATAACACGAGAATAACTGCATGCCTTTTTGTGCTTTTTGGTTAACCCTTTGAGAACTGCAGTCACTGAACCCTTCAGTTCCCTCACTGTCACACAAGTCTTTTTGTTTGCATGCAAACACTGAAGCAAATCATCTATCTACAGCCTAGCACTGTATAGCATGAAATCTGCAAGTGAATTCTTTTAGTGCTCCTGGTGTTTAATATAAGCCATCCAGATCACAATTTATTTCCAACCAATAGATCTCTTTAAGAAACACATAATCAAAATAAATTCCAAAGGCATGAAAAATGAAATACCCCAATTTGAATGATATATATACTATATGTTACTTTATTCTTAAACATACTTTATTGTCTAGTACAGTTTACTATAGTTTGGAATAATCTTTACTGAATGGATGTGGAACCAGGTGGTTTAAAAATTCTGCTGCCGAGTAAAAAATAAATTACAGCAAAACATCCTAAATTGTGATCTAGATGGCTGAACTACAGGATTGAATTTTCAGGCCTACAGTTAAGCGCTGGAAGATTGTAACAGACACTACATAAATGACTATCCAAATAAAATATTGCCTAACAAATGTATTCAGCACCATTAACTAAAGCACCTGGGCTCTGACAAGGGGAATAACTGTGAAGGCAAAGTCTGACACAGTGGGTAACTTGTTGTACAAGAGGTTTGCGTTACTCCAAATGGCTTTGAGTTTTTACATGAGGAAAAACCCACACCTTGTGACAGAAGAAAAGTCCCACATGCTGAGCTGCCCACTGCCTGTTTTAATTCAGACTCTGCTTTCCATGGCACAATTGAAGAAATATGGTCACACTTGGCAATAATAATCAACTCTGTCAATACATACATAAATACATAAAGAGAATGAGTGCTCAGAGGGTTAACTTGTGCTAGAGTCAATTCGATTACTGGATTCCACATTATTGCAGCAATTTTCTAGCTTTAATAATAAATAAAAGACATATTCATCATTTCCAAAATGATGCTTGGAAAATTGCCTCCCCCTTTAAGGACTGTGATAGACTTGTAAAATCAATTTAAAAAAATAACAATGTGCTTGTCTGCATGTGTCAATAAACTGTATATTTCCCCTTGTATTACTGTACATACTCATTGCAACTAGAACTGGGTATAAAAACTTGTGATGTTTTCTTCCTGGACAGTTGTGCAAAAAATCAATGATGTAATCAATGAATGCCTGTATTATAATACACCAAGTTAACTATGAATGGATTCTAGAACACCCAAAGTCCTAAACCTACTGTAACAACTATAATGAATTACATCATGAACTATTAAAGTCTTCATTAAGTGTAACATAGGGGAAACAGTTTGTTTGGGCAGTACCTGGTGTCAGAAGTGACTTGTGACAGACTGATTCATTTATTGCAGAACATTCTCAAAATGAAGGCTAGTCAATGCTCTTATAAGCCTTTCAACTTGTACATGTCGCTTTGGCCATAATCATTGTATCTCCAAAACAACAACACTAATTGAAAAAAAGCTGCATTGTGCCCATAAACCTTCACTAATCATAAAAAATAAATAAAAACCACTGTCCATCAACAGACAAAAAATCCCTAATAACTTTATCATTTTTAAAAAATGCTACATGTGCACAAAACATTGCATAACATCTGCATTTAGAGCTCAGGCATCCAGTAACTTTTTGAAATTAATCCTCCCCCTCTGGAGAGCAACTCTCAGTTTCATTTGGTTATCAAAAGGTTAATTTAGGTGGCACCATACCTCAGCCGTGCTGATTACGCTGTGTCTCAGAAAGCCTTCTACCCTACATAAGACAACCCTTCAGTTTTGAAAATCATCATTTTAACAAACATAATATATAAATTTAGAAAAAAAACAAAGCATTTGACTAAAGATTTACTACGTTTTTGTAGCGTTTGATTAATTTGTTTAGACCAGTACTGCAACTGGCAAAGTTTCCGTTACAATGCCGACCTGGCCACTGTTCCACCGAGCAGAATCTGTCCCTCGTGACTTCTAGAACAGTACAGCTGTATAGGTATCCGATTCTGCAGGCTGTGTACAAAATTCTGAAAAGCCGAGTTGATAAGAATCTTTATCTTTTTCTCAAGTCCAATTGCTCCAAGTACCATATCATTCCATGGATCCATTTAATGTCCTTGTTTTGTGTGTCTGTTCAATCAAAATAGGGAGGAGCATCAATCTATTGCCATGCCAGGAGATAGAAATTAAATCTTAAACCCTGGGACCAAGGTGGTACCATGCTCAAATCAACTCAGCCCCTGCTGAGCTGCTGCCATATAATTATCCAAGTAAGATGGTAAAGTGATGCGTTATTACACTACTAAACTAAAATATCTGATTTCATTCGCTGGTGAATAAGATACATAACTTCCTTCTTTAATGCTACAAGCAGATGTGAAGATCTGCCTTTGAAAAGAAGAGAACTAAAACAAGAAAGGAACATTCTGCATTTTAATATTAGCAATTTAATAAACTGTTACAAATAAAGAATTAAAAAAATAAACCAGATACAGTTATGAAAGGACAGAAGGTGTTGAGTACAGAATAACATTTCAGAATGTCATTTAAATTCTTGTTGTTTTTTTACCAGGCTGTGTACTATGCTTTCCAAGTATAAAATATGTATATGATGATAGTGATATTTGGGTTTGATATTAGATATTTAAGGGTTTGATTATATCCTGTATCAAGACTTTTATGTATTGTAGATGATAATGCCATCTCATCTGAAACACATTCAAATGTTAACATCTTCAACTTATTAAGTTAACGTTCTGAAACTATGATCATCTGGATGATCTCATCTAATCTTTAAGGTATTTTCCATGGACTTGCCAGAAAGGATCTCAATGTTTTAAGAATTAATAACAGGACACAGGGATGAGTGAATGCATGTGTATGTTAATATTGTTTTATGTGGAAGGAGGGTTTTGATGCTTTTCCTTCTTTTATTAAATAAATAGAATATAAGTATTAAAATAAATAAAATTATAATATTTACAAATCATACAAAGTGGGCCATTTCTAGTGTTGAAGCCATCCTTTCTGAACTCACGTTTTGTGCAATTCTCACCCTGAATTTAACATTTCTAAAGGCATTTCACATTGGAAAGAGCATTTTCTCTGAGACTGGTTGCCAGATAACATTGGTGCCACAGAACTGTGCTTTCTCTGAAATAATCTGAGGTTCTCTTAATCTGAGAGGGGAAGATCAATTGCAGCTATGCTTCTTCCAAGGTAAATCAAGAAGAAGACAGCACTGTTTCCAAAAGCCTGCCTCTGACATTTAAACACTTTCCCGCTGTGAGAGATAAGGCTCCGCAATGCTGCGTAGTGGCAAAAAAATAAAATATAATGTTGAAATAAAACAGAATATAGTGCTCAAAGGGTTAGGCAACTGGGGAGTAGATTCATACCAAAACTTACTGCCACACTCACTCAAAGCAGCTTCTTGCAGGGGAGGTGGGGAGGTTTTATAAGTCATTCCTTTCCTTTGTATAAAAAGGCCCATGTTACTGTATATGCATATCATTTTACCGTAAGGAATTCGTAAAAACCTTCAGGGCCCACCCCAATAAAAAAACACACCCCGACAATTCCTTGACTGCCTTTTTTTTCCACTCGGACACCTCACGTAAAAATCAAACAGCGTCTGTAACGACAGCGGCTGTAGTTTGGTGTGATATCCCCCCTCCCCTTCCCGCTCCTGCCAGAGGTGGGTGTGACACAGGGCAGCGCTAGAAAGGTGAATTGGGTGAGCGAACAGTCTCCGACGAGCTAGGGGAGTAGTCCTCCGATTCGGAGTTGAACTCCGCCGTGGCAGCCGCGCCGGCGGCTGTGCTGGGGGTGGCTACGGTGCTGTGCTGAGCCTTGTACATCGGTCTCACATCCTGGTGGCATCTTCGTCGGAAAACCTGCCTCTCCTTATCAAGAGCGGTGGTCTGGTGATGGGAGCACGAGGAAAGAAAGCAAAAAAAACAAAGACCAGTCAGGACTTCCAGTTTCAGCCCAAGCGGCTCAAGGTCATTGGTAGCGGAAGACGCAGAAGAAGAAGCATAGGGGCTTTTTATCATGACGATGCTTTACTGGGAGTTATTGTATATGGGCCATACGCTCTCTCTCCAAAATAAGGCTGCAGCTTGTCTTGATCACTAATCATGATAGTGTTAAACAAGTGGTCAAAACTTAGGTATGGAAAAAGTAAAAGCAATCAACTGCTGCTTGTTAAATAAAATAAAAAATCCCAATGACTTGTGGCATGACTGCTTTTAATGTGCAAAGGTCAAAAGCAGGCATGTACTGATGCTTTAAAGAGACCTAGAAAGCTTGGATAGGCATTAGCCCACGAGAACCAGGACTGGTCCTCACAGAGCCAGCAAAATTCAAAGCTTTACTCCCTTTCAAGGGAGTAAAGCTTTACTCCCTTTCATGCTTAAAAGCAGAAACAATCACAAACTTGGAGAAGCATATCATTTAGAGACTCATTGTGTTAAATCGTATTAAATTGTCAAATGATCATTTGGTCTTCAGTAACTATTAATAAAGGCCCCAAATAAACACTGTAGTTCAAAGATATTGTTAAAGGAAATGTGGTTAAAGCATTTGATAAAAGGCAACTTAAGAGTTAAAGGAAGCAAATCATTTCAAAACATCGCAGCAAACAAAGGCTACACAATTGGCAACATGACAACTGCATCTGTACAAAGCTGTCTGATTCAGCCACATGTGAATCGTGAAGCTGCGATACAGTTAAGTCTGAAAACAGTGCCTGATGAGTGAGTGGAGCCTGGACAATCAATGCCAGTTTGAAGACCATGCACAACGACAGACAAGACAACATTCTGGGGCCTGTTGTCTGCTCTTAGAAACATTTAAGTGAAGCTACTACCCCAAAACACAGCAGGAGAAAACACATCTGTGATAAAGCAAGCCTTCTGATATGGAAAAAGGGACAGGGGGCAGTACAAGAAAACGTACAAATAAAAAAAAGCACAGTGTTACAAATTCACAGAGGTTTGGATGCAACAACTTGACTTCTTTTAAGAAAACTTTTCACAAAGGAAATATTTTCCATTTTCTTTGAAGGGATTAAAGGGAAAGTATATACAGACAAACACTGATGAAACCCAATTCCCAGAGACCCTCTAAAGCTTTGTAACATATACCATGTGGTATACATTACAATCCTTCTATACAAACGGAAAGACGTCCGATAACGCTGTTATAAAATGGCTCCTGAGCATGTGAGATGGAGGAAGCTGGCGAATGTCATTGTGATTAATGGGTGAAGAAGGAAAATGTAAGGGCGTCTCATTACAATATCAATGAAGCCGATAAAGCAGCGTATGGACCAGGTAACAAATCAAAAGCATGTTTTGTCCACTGAAGGAAACTGGTTAATGGAGACTGCCAGCACGTTGCCATGGAAACACTGAGTGTTGGCACTGCACCATCTCATACCTTATCCAATACATTCCTGGTTGTTGGTAGTAGTCCAAAGACCCTGATCTCTTGATGGTAAACCCGTGGTCCAGCTGAGCAGAAAGAAATGAGCAACTCAGTGGATCGCTTTTTTTTTTTCAAATTCAAGTATTAAGTCCATTATGACACCTTATGACAATTACTACTGGCGATGGAAGGTGTAATAGTTACTAAGCAAGCCTGTCACTGGATGTGCTTCGCTGTTACAAAAATAAAAAGCAGAAAGAATTAAAATGAATAAGAAAACTCTGAAGGAACCCCTCACAAATTTTCTTATCCACAGAAGAAAATAATATATTGATACACGTGTGTGCTAGATGGCCAATGTTAATTGACTGTATTCAAACATGTTCAGAAAATGTTACTTTTAAGGTTAACAATTTATATTTTCAGACATCTCCTGTAGAGACCATAATTGCGAACATTAACTTGTGTTTTTAGAATATTCTAGGAAGGAAACAGAGTTATTTGCTTCAACTTAACCTGTGGCCCAAAATGTCTTTGAAACTCTTCGACCAGCAACTGTTCTGTATTTAGGGTATTCTTGACATCACATTGTCAGAGGTTCTACATTGACAAATCAGCTGTTAGCTCTCTACTTTAGTAGTTTGCGTATTTAACAGTGTATAACTTTGAAACTAGCACATGATAAAAACAGAAACATATGGGTGTTCAATAAACGTTTTTTAAATGTTTTTAATTAAACGTTTCAAAAATGTTTTTAAATAAACCACAACCGTTACTTTCAAGAAACAAAAAGCTCTAATTGAAAGTGTTAGTTGTATTGCAAACTTTTAAGAGATTTGTAGATATTTTGCATGTCTGGTTAGCTGTCCTGCTGAGGAATGTTACTGTTTTTAAAATGGTACAGGGGGTTAAAGCCTTTGTTGGCTGTTTGTGTCAGAGGAAAGATAAGATACAGTATCTTGTATGTCATAACAGACAATCTTTGACTAACTATGAACTTTGATTTTCATCTGCGTTAAATGAAACCTAGTATAAACACAAACACAAAAGAAGTAATCATGTTAATATATTCAAAAAGACTTACCAAGGTTACATGTTTATATTTATATATGATCTAAAATATGATGAGAACATTAATCTTCAAGTTTTGCCACATCTATTCTGAAAGCATTTTAAGCATTACATATACTTTCATAATACTGTACATATTCATTTGGTCACAGAAGTACCATTTGTCTAAATTTCAGGATTTGAATAATTTTGAATTTCATTCAACTCCCATTAAATCATCAAATCAGTTCTAATGGGAATTCTAAAGTTATGCCTAAGTCTTTAACAGAAAAGCAGTAGCATTTTATACAGTACATTTTAAATAGCTTTAAATTTGAACTAAAACCTGTGAATACGAAAATGCAGCTTCAAGCTATGCGTAGAGCTAAACATTTAAATACGTCTTACTTTTAATAACCAGTAAGCTTTATAACTTTATAAAGTTATACAAAAAAACTTTGTATATACAGTATATACAGTACATAACAGCTACACCTATAAGTGTAATTCTTAAAGGCTGTGGCTATTTTTGTAATTGCTGTTTTACTACTCAAAGTATAAAAGCTTAATATAAGATGTATTTCATTATAGAGTAATAAATATTAAAACATTCCACTGGAATTGTGAAGAAATAGATTGTGCTCATAGAAGCTCTGAGGATTTTAAAACATAGATACTATATCAAGAGTCAAAATACTGAAGATGTTGGATTAAGAGCAGTAGTTCTATGCTGTCTACTCATTTAATGACCAATATGCATTTGTACACAAAGAACATGTCCACTAATATACAGGGTCATAGTATATCCATTTACAGTACATTTTTCAGTTACTTCTAGGAAACTTCAGAAAAATGTCCTTATCCCTTAACACTTATTTTTAAGATACATTTATTTATGTGAATAACAAAATGAATCACCTAGAAAGATTTTGGCTCAAGGCTAAGAAAGCATAATTTCTTTACTGCTCATACTGAAAAAGCTGAGAACAGTAAAACATCTGGTTTTTCTTGGCAACAGAAAATAAGAGCAGCTTAAGACTATTTTCAATGGCATGAAAATATAGCAAGCTCTGTTCTACTAAGGACATACTGTACAATGTCTGCAGTCATCTGAAATGTAATACCAGCAATTCCATTTACTAACAAACAAGAATGTCCAAAATACCATTTAATTTGCCGTGGCATGCATGTTGCTATTTTTAGTGGGTGAGCTGGGACAAAATTCTAGAAATTGATTGAAAGGAATCAGCATACACGTGTACTATAGTTTTTACCCAGCTTTGACATACATGGAAGATTTTATAGAGGACAAAGTTTTATGCTATCTGCCTTGTCCTTTTCATGACTGGAATAACCTCACTTCATCACTCTATTCCAACTGGCAGTTCAAGGATATTTCTTACAAACTTTATGCATTAAGCAACCATATTTAACCAGGTGCACCCTTTCCTTTTATATTCTTTTCCTTAAAGATATGATCTACACATCTTATCTAACAATGAATGGCAGTACTACACACATGTTGTACATTTACCTCTATGACCCACAGAATATTTTTAGCAGTTTTACACAAAAGCAGATGGTTCAATATATAGTAGATTACGTTCCTATAACTTTACATAAGCTATACTAAATACCCTCATTGATGTTTTGTAAAAACTTTATTGGGTATATAATATTTGATTTGACTGTAAATACAGTATTTACTAGAGTTGAATTTTCTGGGGTTCTAGCATTCAAGGACAAGTGAGCAACGCTTCAGCTTTGACAAACTTAATTCTTGACACTAAGTAATTCAAATCATTAATAGTAATTTCATCTAAACTCAAGGTTACTAAAGAAAACAGTGTGAAGAGGGTGAGGTAAAAGATATAGTGACCTTTGGATATTCAGTGTAGATATACTGCTGGTACAGATGAAAAATAATTTGAATTTAGTGAACCTTAGCTAATTTAATGAACAAATTATAATTAAAATAGTTTCTGGGTTCATCACACACAAGACATGGACTTGCAGATGAATTCGAAAAATCAGTATAAAAGGCACTCTAAGTAAACATTTTCTTCAGAAGTCTTATTTGCTTTTTCAAAACACTATACCAATGCGTCTGTTTTAATATAAAACATCCTTTCTTTTCCCCTTGTCCTTTTTTAAAATCCTCACTGCATGGAACTGATTCTGACTATGAAGATCTTAATCCTCTATAAAAATAATAAGTTATTCTAACCTCCCTGAGTGCATGTATGAGCATATTTTGCCATTCAACACCAAAGGAAAAAACGCAGAATACTTTCAAAGCCAAAACTGTTCCAAAAATACGAATCACAACTTCATCCCTTAGAAAAAAACAAACAACAAAAGTGCACCTTTGGTAATTATCATTTTCAGCAAGATTTTGTTTTGTTTTGTTAGAAAAGGTGCTTGATTGTTTGATGTTTGGTTTTGCTATAGTCCCAGACAACAGTGCTGACAGTCCTTTCAAAACAGAATAAAAGAAACAAAAGAAACCGAAGCAAGAGCATTCAGCGAGGCAGTTCTTGTGTAATAAAAGAGGATGGTTCGATTGACAATGATGTCGACTGAAGAGTGGTACAGTCATCATGAGGGCACAGTAACTTGTAATGTTAGTCGATGGAGTTGGTCATCTCAGCTAAAAAATGAGGTTCAATGAACATAAGATATAGCGTTATAGTGTAACATGGCGCTTTTCAATAAAACAAGTGCATGAACATTGATTTAATTGTGCGAGTATTTATTATTTGATATTCTACCTTAATTTGGGCTATTTAAAACACCTAATTTTCTTTCAGTCAACTCCTGCTTCTGGAACTGAACCTATTCAATATCCTTCATGAATTGCTGGAAGAATGCAAAAAGTAGTATCCCAGTTTTGCTTTACAGATACTTACCTATTGTGTTGAGTTAGACGTGAGATAGCCGACAGAGTAATGAAATATAATGCAATTGACACTATCTAAATTTGATACTTAATTCTCCAGGAATCATTGAAATCACGGATAGTCTGCTATTTGTAATACTTCAGCTAATGAAGAGTGCTCTGTTATTTGACTATGAATAACTAATATTTAACTGGTGACAGTTTGATTTTTAAAAAAGCAGCCACACATTGCTGATGCAAATTATTATTTATAGGTTGATTATGTTCTATTCTGTGTTTAAAAAAAAGCTTCCTGGAGTCCAAAATTCACCGATTAGGACCAAATGGGTCCAAAATACAGCTAAGTTTAAGACATGGAAACAATTTGTTATTAAAATAGAGAAGGTGTGGAGCAGGTTTTATCTGGATCAGATGCTTACTGTTATAACAGACACTCCAGCTGTGGTGCTGTCAGGTTTGGGGCCTGTATTGAAGTGTTTCTTGATCTTTCCAGCCACTGAGAGTTGATGCTCATTCTCTGGCATTCCATCATCCTGAACAGACAAAAGTAAAAGAATGGTAGCTCTTAATGTGGTTAATAGAAATCTAAAATGAGGACATGCTTCTTAAAATATACAGCATACCAGCTTTGTGAGCAGTTCAACCAGTAGAGGCACTGATTCAGAGCACGGGTTGAAATGTACAGTATTGTCCAGACCTGGAGTTACCAGGCTACAAGAACACTGGCAGAATGCCTCCTGGGCTAGGTGAAATTGAGCTGGCAGGGCCATCCTCAGGGACTCTGGCAAGAGAGGCACTAGGGACCTGCAGGGAACCAGGCAATTTACAGTGTGGGGCATGTTGTGTGAAAATGGCAAATGATTCAGAAAGGGTTTATGGTGGAGGACATCATACACACTATATACAGTCCTTCACTCTCTTGTACTGACAGAAGATCTGTGGTGATAAACTGAGTTGATTAGCATCTGGTGAATTATTTTTGAGGTGTTATAAGCATCTTAAAAATGTTGATTCCAAGTATTTAAAAACATTGGTTCCCCTTCACTCTTCTAAATATTTAAAAAGATAATCTATCTTGTGTTATTCAACCACTCTGCAGAGCCACATTATTATAAGCTTTCTTGCAAGTCATTGAAGTGCAAATATATCCTGAAATTTAGGAAATGAAACAAGTGCGTGCATTTGTTTCCAATCTAGATTAAGCCAATGGCATCATCCAAAAGGAATTTCTTCACATCTTTAGCTCTTTATCTGGGACAGTGCAGATTATTTGAGCCTTCATTAAACTGTTTTCTGGAGGATTTGGTTTCCTGAAAGGACCTGTTCTCCAAACTGGAAAGTGAGCACTGTAAAACCTGAAAGCTCTAATTAAAATAAAAAGCTCTAGACATTACCATTTTTCATACAGTATAAAAAAGGAAAAACAAGCTCCTTAAAGATCCAATTCATATTCAATTTTGTTTTGCTGTAAGTGCCCTCCAGTGGCATATTTGTGTAAAACAAACTTACACAGATACACCCCTCCCACGTCTTGTTTTTTCAGGGCCATTTCACTTTAATACTATCAATTATCAATGAATCTTGCATTTTCCCAGAGCACTTTACAGAATCATCTAATACTCAACAAAAAAAATAACAGTTGACCATGTGGGCATGGTGGAGAGGAAAACAAAAACTCCCATTGGGAGAAAAAATCTGTAAGGGTCCAGGTCCAGTGGCTGCCACCCCCTCAGGGCATTAATTAACACCCTTTTCACATAACGTCATCTGCCATTCGTTTTTATGTTGCTCATTGAATGCCTCACCAGCCTCTAGTTTTCACAGATGGTGCATTTAAAGGCTACCACGTCTTACAATACTATATACTGTAGTGTACTGTACTGTCCCTTTGTTCATACTGTATTTGGTGATACAATTAGTTATTTTTATTGATCTTCTCTTCAAGTGGTTCTATGATGTTAAAAGTTTTGTGCTTTTTAGGGCAAAAAGACCCATTGAGACTGTATAGTATGTCCTGTATATTACAGATTATATTCAGTGACTATAACATTCAGCCCTTTTCCTTAAAAGAATTATGAACTGAGTTAAGAGAGCTGAACAACTTATTATAGACTGTATACAGCAGCACTGCTGATAAAGTGTAATACTTATCAATAAATGATTATCATAAAGTCTACTGTATTGAAACAAACCATTTAGTACCATTCAGTTGCTTTAATAAATATAGAAACATTGTTCCCACCTTTTCCATTATTTAAATTACTTGGAAATATATCATTTGTAGATACATGTATAGCAGATGTGCTTTAATTAAATCTTATTTGTTTTTTGTCCATGTACACATATCCCCCTACAAATAAGTTATTTACTATGGAAGTAAATTGCTTTAAATTATTTTCCTACAGTATGTATTGTGCTTTTACACACAATATCCATGAACTTACACTGAGGAATAGCCACAAAAAGCATTAATAGGCCGTTAAGCCTATTAATCTATCACATGAATAATATTAACTCATTTTGGTCTTAAAACCAAATTTATTATAAATATAATAAATTATTAAAATCTACTAACAAGCATTGAGTTGCAGATCAAGATAAAGATTTTTTGGGGATGCATGTATTATCAATGATTCAGCATATTCTTACAGAATGTGTAAGCACTTAATCCTTAGTTATAAGGATTAAACATCTTAAATAAAACGAACTGTTTGGGGCAATATTGATTCTTACTTACATTCACCCACGGATGATCGAGCACCTGCAAGGCAGTATATCTCTGATCCACATCCACCTGCAGCATGGAGGTGATTAGCTCCTAAAGAGATAGATGTAGTTTCACTTTAGAACACATAAGCTGTCACATTGCAATCACCCATCCCATGGTATCTTACATTTACAGAGCCACCAGTTAATCTGATACCACAGCAGAAACATCTTTTCCTTGGCTGTGACCTGCTCTGACGAAGACAACCAGTACAGACTCTACTAATATATATTCAATCAAAAGAGATTGCAATCTTTGAGTTATACTGAGGCATACGTTAACTTCATTTATTACTGAAATGTAATATAACACAAAGATTGAAGAAATATTAATGATTGTACCTTTGCTGAATCGGAAATGTTGTCCCAGTAAGGTAGCGGAAAATCTAGCTGCCCCATCAAAATTTGATCAAACAGAGCTTCCTGGTCTTCACTGCTTCTGTATTTAATAGACAAAATACAGTACATTGTCACTGTGTGTGTGTCATTTTAATTATAAAACACATATGTTCTAGATTTAGCATTCATAATAAACGCATGACAGTAAAACTGCAAGTCCATCACATAAAGGTGAGCATTCTCTCTTCCAAGGTTACTGTAATAGGTAAAAATGACATTGAATCCTAAGGTTAAAATGTTCATTTAAATGCTCTCAGTGTCTGGGCTTAGAATTGAGGTAAACTGACACTACTAAAATCAACCACTAGAGGGAGAAAATAACAATTTAGTGAGGAACAGGGTTGGCAGCTTTGTGCTTAAGAATTTGGAAAGGATATCACTTATTTAACAGATATAGTTTATATATATACAGTATATAACCCTGCAGCAACAAATTATTAACCAGAAGGCAAAAATTTACATCACACCAATGTGGCCTTTGGGTGGGTCATGTGTATATACCCACTGTACAATTAAAACTGCTAAATTATATAAATCAAGTCACAGAAAGGTCTCAAAAGTATTCTACCTAATGAACTGATGGCATTGCTTAAAATAGATTTTTACCATCCCATCACACAGAAACGCCATACAGATACCTCTGTACGTACCCACGGAATGGAGGGAATCCACAAAGAAGAATGTATGTGATCACACCAGCTGCCCAGATGTCCACCTTCAGTCCATACCTAGTAGGAAAAGTGACAAATCTGAGCATGGATTTGCTGGGCCTTTCACGGCATCAGTTAACACTGTGATCAAACTGCCTCTGACTATCATCACTCACAAATTAATGACTGCAATATCGTTCAAATCTGTTTGCTCTTATGACAATGAAAGTGAGTACATCATTCCTATAAGACGAGGGTTAGTTTGATGCTTGAAAACTCAAGAACATTTCCAGATCTGAAAATCTGGATAGAGGTGAATGCATAATATAGATTTCAACCATAGGGTCTGTAATACTGTTGTGCCACTGGATATACAAATGATTGCCTATTGTCTTTTTCCAATTACAAAGGATAAAGGGTTTTTGAAATTGAATCTTACCCAGTCTCAGCAATGATTTCTGGTGCTACATAAGTTGGAGTTCCACAGACTGTATACAAGGGTCCATCCACAACAGTGGCCAAGCCAAAATCACCAAGTTTTAGGGATTTGCTACCATCATGGTGTTCATAGACCTGGAATACAGAGAAATTAATCAATCAGAACTGTATAACACAAAAATATTTTGTTGCTCATTTGATTGAGTTTTCCATTAACTTTTTTTTATCAGTAATGTGGAATTAAAACTGATTTAGAGTTAAATTAAATCACTTGTCAGCATGACATAGGAAAACACCTGTATGAACCTCTGCACTGCTATTAAATATTGGAAGTATTAATTTAATAAATCAGCTTTTTATTAAATCTATCAACCCATAATGGAAACCCAAGTTTGTAGGTCATGTTGGACAACCATGAGCAGGAGTGGGACTGGTCAGACAGCAGTAAGTAGATTCTCAAGTCAGATTTTAGGTTCTAGATTGTTCTGTTTATGTAGTGTCTGCAATATGAATCATACATCCTTTTTCTTCCAGACGGTGAATGTGAAATGCTTTTTCAGCATCGTGTTTGTAGCCACAAGCAATTATCTCCTTTGCGTGAGAAATGATCTGCAGTGCAGCTGCTAGAAAACACTTTAATGAAGCAACAGCAGAACATCTGATTTAATTTTTACAAAGGACAAATAAAGCTGTGGGATGGAATGATACAATTTCTGGCAGGCCAAATATTGATCATCAGAGAGAGGAAATTATTATTTCAGCCTCGTACAGATGTACACAAGATGTTTCGGTTCTGTTCTTGTCTAAATAAATCCTTGTTACCACAGATAGTGTGGATTATTGTGTTAGATTCTTATATTTTGACATAGCACATTAAATATGGAACAAGACGATAAGTCCCTACTTTAGGAAAACATAACACTGTTTAAGAACAGGAAGAGGTGCTCCTAATGAATCATTCATAACTGTTCTGTGGAAGTATTATCACAGATAGAGTCATATTTAGCCTCTGCCCCTAGTGTGAGAACACAATCTTCTCAATGTGACTATATGTGGAACTGCTTTAGAGATTAATCAATGCAGGAGGTTGCACTTCCGAACGATCTCCGGAACTCACACATGAAGCTAGGGAGATAGTGAGTAAGCATTAACTACTGGGTCTTTGCTGCTTAAAGCATTTTCAAGTAGGCAAGAGACAGTTCAATGGCTAAATCTGTCATTAAATTAGCTTAGCAAAGCAGCACAGCCCAGCTAAAAAAGGACATCATCATGCATGCCATAGCTTTCTGCCTGAGAAGATGGAAGAAACCAAGTGCTTGAAGGGTTTCTGACAATATAACATCCTGTTAACTAAATAGTGGGCTAAAATGTCTCTTAGCATGCATATTTTTCATTTGGTGTGGCATCGTGAAGTATATTCTATAATTTTGATAGCAACATCAACACAAATGAGCATTTGTATGACAAAATTACAATTGGATACAATCTCCTCCTGCTTCATTTATGTAAAGGGCTGCAATGTGCTTTTAAAATAGTTTCCTCTGAGTAACATTTGAAATGCTCACCAGAATGAGCTTTACTGCTGATGAAAATGGTATACTGTAAGGTTATCAAATAAGGAGGATATTTTATCATCACTGGTACAGAACTGACCTCAGGTGCATGTTCTGCTCAGTCTTTTAGTCATTTAATACAGGGCATGAAGTTTTTAAACTTCAGTGAAGGAGAGTGCTGTTCCCCATGTGACATGAAGTAACAGACTTTAAACAGTACAGTAGTTAAAAGACCTACAATAAACTAGTAAAGATCACTACCATTTAAAAACAAACCTTGTCCTCTAGTACCTGTATCAGAATGATGGTACTGTATTAAAGAACCCTCTCCCCTACTCACAATTATTTCATGGGAGACCACTCTCCAGATAGCAATATCACACGCAGGCACCACAGCCCTTGTTTATTTTTACAACACACAAACTGAGCACAAGATGAATATGGCGCAGTTATACCTAAGAACAGAGGGGCCTCAGGTGTTCAGTTTGTGCATACTTTCAGAAGAAATTGAAAAGGAAAACATGCTCTCTCTAATGGCTGTATATAGTTGACGCTAACAATTAGGGAGTGCAGGCTTTTCTGTCCTGATAAAACTCATTTTCTTTTCTTGAATTCCCGGTTAATTGTGTTGGTGTTACAGATGAACAATTTACTAGACATTTTACAACTACTGTACACTGGGAAGATTTATTTAGTAAACCCTATAACTTCTAAGCCTTTGAGGATAAATAGTAGTAAATAGTCATTCCATCGTCTGTTTACAACTGTAACCCATTCTTTGTCTTTTGTATCAACTGCTGAAAGGGCTGTTACTGTATGTACTAAGGTTCTTGCCATTTTCCCTGGCAGAAATCTGTTGCTCTGTCATACACAAGAGAAGAACCATAACTCACCAGCAGATTCTCAGGCTTAATGTCCCTGTGAACAATATTAAGGCTGTGCAGGTATTTGATAGCACTAGCCAGATTATACAGCATCCCACTGGCATCACGCTCTGTGTATTTGTTAGTTGAGGTAATCGCATCAAAGAGGTCCCCTCCCTGTAGACACATGGACAATCCCAGGCAAATTAAATACAGGCTAACTCCGCAATGACACACCGCTCATGATACAGAAAGATCAAATATATGAAGAGATGGAATAAAGTGTTAGAGGCCCTGTCTATTAGCATACAACACAGGAACATATAGTAAATTCTTAATAGGGGAAAGGTTTGCACTTAAGGCAGTATCATACCATTAAAACAAACTCCCTTGAAACAAGGGGAAGCACCAGTCATCTCCAGACACACATGCTGTGGCTTGAGAAAAAGTAATGATACCAGAGTACATCAGGAGTGTCTGACATTTAAAATTCCCATGGGGTTAGACTCATAGGCATTCATAGGAAATAATGCAGGATAACTTGTCAATTAGAGAGGCTTTGGAGATTTAGAAGTACGGCGTCTTTGTTGTATGTTCTTTTTTCTAAAAGATATTCACAGGTTGCCGCTCAAAAACTGCAATATTTGTAATCTAAATTATTATTAAAGGAACACAGTACTATGCACATTTTATACTATGCACAAGACAGGAAGCCCCAGAATTTCTAACAAGAGGAATGATGTTCACAAATAATATTTGTGAAGGTTAGAGTATTACTCAAAAAACACCTATTAAAAAGTATATGGATATTTCATTCTTCTCTCACGAATCAGCTGAAATAGTTTATATTTCATATATTCAGCATGAGAGCCAAACAATAGGATACAACAGAAAAGCGTACATTAATTTCCCATGATATCATGTGGAATGAAATGCATATTAAGTCAGCATTACTGTATATACAGTAATAGGCTGGATGAGATGATGAGATAGACTTCACTGAAAACACACCTTCACAAGTTCCATGACAAGGTAAAGCTCACTGTATGTGTCCATCTCCTCAATCAAAAGAACAATATTTGGGTGCTTCACTCTCCTGAGAATTGACACTTCATTCTGGATCATGTGTTCCTGTCAAGAAAGGAAAATGTTTAAAACCACTTTGAAAAATCCAAGAGGACAGACCAAATGGGCTATATGGGTCTAATACTCTTCCCACCTTTGTAACTTTTTATGTTCTTATGAGATGGGAAGGTCTAATGTAGTAACAAGTGTAGAACCATCTGCATGCATTGTACAAATTAAGATATACAGTGTATATTTCCTTAGCAATGCTTATTAAAATTGTATTGCCATTTCCATGAAATTTAATAATTTGTGCTTGAATTCACTTACCTTTCCCCTGCATTTACTTTTGTTAATGATTTTCAAAGCATATTCTCTCCCAGTAGATCTGCAGTGGGGAAAAAAAATGTCAATTTGATTTTTACAGGCAAATCAAAGTTGTGGCTTTTCTTTTTTTCAATTGAAGTTTTACATTCTGCCAGGTTTGTAGCAAACTAGTGATACTTTTCAGGCTTACCTCTCCACACATTCTCGAACTACTGCAAAATTGCCATCTCCGATTGTCCTCCCCACCTTATACCTTTCAGCTATTGAAGCTGGGACTTGGGGATATTCGTCCATCATTTCTGCTGCAACACATTGCCAAACACAGTGTTAAAAATGACATTAAGTAAACATGGCAACAAGGCTGAGAAAGAACTGAGGATCGCTCTTCAAAACAATCTAGGAAAGTCAGGTTTTTTAAATTAAATTCTAGACATTGGGAAATTCAAAAGAAATATGGCAAAACTACTGACTCAGGAAAATGGTGCTGATGAACCCCCCATTTTGGAGGAATTGGCTTGTCTTACCTTCACTCCCTGGTCCGTCGTTTTCATCCATTGAGCTGCAGACCTTTGTGGAGGCTAGAGACAGCGAGGAGCCACTGTGTTGTGAGCCCTGTGTCACAGAAAACAAAGGAAAAGGAAAAAGGAAAATAAATAGAATTTAGCAGCGCTCAGAATGGCAGCCGACCTTTCATTTCTTTTCCCTCATGTGCACAAGTATTGCAACTGAAATAAAACTTGGAAAACTTTAAAATGAACCTTTCCATCCAGCATCAAAGGATGATCCCTGCTGCAATTTCAGCTCAGAGTCTACTCAGATAGACCATTCAGTTTCTACCTGTGAGGCAAGAGGCTTGTTTGGCATTGGGGAATATTGGGGCAACGTGAAGTTAAGTGTCTGAAACTTTTCCCTTATGTTCATGTGTCTTTATCAGGAAGACTTTTCATCAAAAGCTTTGAGTGAAGTCCCTTCAGATGAATGAAAGACTCAGAATGGAAAGATGGAATGAGCATTGGACTCAGCTATACTGATCAGAAAGTATGTTGCACACTGAATAATTTGTTCATTTTGGGCCTGGATCTACGTATCCTATTAAAGACTTGAGGCTTGAGGACATTTACAAAAACAAATTCTAGATAGTGCAATTGAAAAACATTAAATATAAATGACTCCTACTGATATAATATCACATAATTAACACAAGCAATAATTAAGACCATCAAAAAGAATAGCCCATGTATTAAGTACTGTATTTTATACTTCCTTTTCTGTTTTTACTTTCTTTAAGCAAACAAGGTAACATAAAAAACTAGGCTTAAGAGCGGGTACACTGAGACTGACAGATGGTGTATTAAAGATCATATCCTACCATTTTGCAATTCAATTTTAAATATATATATATTTTTTTACAGCTTCTAAAACTCCCGATCGGGCAGACAAAACTGTGAATACAGTGTGTTGCCTAGCAGCAAATAAAACACTGTGTGCTGGCAAAAATATCCTAAATCTAAAAAGAGCTTTGTTTCAGATTCTAATGTGTTACATGAAAGCAAGTTATCTTGTACTGTTTGTTCAATTTTCAGCTTTGATAGTATATACTGTTCTGAACTACAGCGATAGTCTTGGTTATAATCACTTCCAATTTTTGAGGGTATTAATCCAACACATCTTTAAAACTAGTAAAATATTTATCTTAATCTTCCTTTACAAGAGGAATGTTGGAAAGAGAAGGGACAGAAGTACTTTCGACAGTTTCCACTTACCTCTGTTCTCAAAGAGCTTTATTTCATTTAAACAGCAGGATAAGTATCCAACTAAAGAATGGCTTTACATTTAAGGGAAATATGCTTATAAGACATGTCAACACATTTTCCAAGTGATAAATTGCAGTTTAAGGAGTATATTAATCTTGATAGGGGTTCATGATTTGCCTTTATAAAACACCTGTGTGCTAGATTTGAGTGAATCTACAATGGTTGGTTGCTAAAATGTAGGCACAGGTGTGCACAGAAATGAAGAAGGAAAATCTCCTTTTGATGATCATTGTTTTTTTTTTACCACCTTAAAGAGGAATGTGGTGGAATAATGTGTCAAGACATTACTTATAGAAAAATAGATCAGTGTTAAAGCACAAGGTCCTCCTGAGCAGCTGGAGTCCCAGAGCACATGATGGAACAAGGTCACAGTGCGGTACTTCAGCTTATAATTGCAAAAGTGGATTTCTTTAGATGGTCTTTGCAAAGCTAACAAAGTATCAGTAAAGAGTGGTCTTCACTACTAAGTGCATATTTATATTTCCAATTTTTTTAGAAGCTGTTTTAATTAGCTAATATTTTCAACATTCCAAGGTCTAGAGATCATTTTTAAAAGTGAGATTGAAAATGGGGAAAAAAAGAAAAAACAGCTGCTCCAAAAATGAACTAAAAATTAAGGACACGATTCTGTATGAGCTGTCACCAGACATGTAACTGGATTAACATTGCTTTTAGATTCTTCCTCCGTCCTTGTTACATAACAGTGCCTATTTCTATGGAAGACTGCTTACATCTTTTCATTTGCACATTTTGTCTGTGACAAACATTTTGCCTCTCACGGTCAAATTAGAAGCGACATTTTCTCACATAAATGTGCTAGCACTCTATACAACTTTCATGTTCCTAATCTCTCTCATCTTTTGTGAAAAAGAAAAAAAAGGTGTTTCTATGGAAACTAAGCTAGTGCTTCTAATAATACCTTTACAGAGAAGAGCGAACTTGGTTGAATCTGAAAAATCATCTGCCATTATTATTATTATTATTATTATTATTATTATTATTATGAAGAATTATCCAAGAACATTCACTCCTTTTTAATTTTACAGTTCCTTGCAGGAGATGGATATGGTTGTTTCACTCGATTAGTTTTCCTTTTAATTTTGATTAGTTATGGACAATAAGGGGCTTTGTTTAATCATAAACGTGTAGGTACTTGAGAAACTTGACATTGTGGGTGTACAGGGAAGATGCAGTGAGGCAGATGTAAACTTTTGGACTTATCAGGGAACTCAAAAACAACTACATCAACAGATAGCTATGCAACAAAAGAATATAAAGCACATACAAATAATTCCTTTACAGTCTACAAACTAACACAAAATACAGGATCAAAATAAATAAATCTCATAGTAAACAACATAAATTAAGGAAGGTTTTAACAGGTTGTTACCTTTCCCTTATGACTCTAATTAGCACTTCAAACACACAAAAACAGATGAAAGAAACAAGTCAATATTAACTTCATCTTTATTATATAATAACTAGATGAAAATGTTATATTTTTACTAAACAGGTAAGTTACAAAAATAATAAATTAAGAAAGGAATGACTGAACCTGAAATATGTACTGGACATACAACTATTGTATAACACAAAACAGAACACTGAAATGAAACAAAATGACATGACTACTTTCAGAATTTCAAATTTTACACACAAAATAATGTCAACAATCCTCACAAAAATGAATAAGGCCACCTTGTCTTAACTTTGATGATGAAAAACAAATGCATGTTTAAAAACAGGTGATGTTATCACAAAAGAAATGTACAGAGAAGCAGAACATCCTGATTTGGAAAACAAAATGCCCAAGGAGTATATACCTAGTACCTCTAAACTATTGTTGATTTTTTTTAATCCAGTCCATTATTCTAAATGGTCAGTTTCAGGTGCCCAGAATCAATTTTTGTCAAGAAGTTTGTGCTCTCAATACAGTACCACTCCAGCATACTAATACCTTTTAGCTTAATACTTTATAGCTACCAACTTCTTAACATCCTGATCAAATCACTGATAGAAACCTATGCTGACCCATCTGGAAATTTGTGAGTGCCCAAGAAGTTTATTTAACAAAGCTGATAATTTAGATTTATTCATTTGTTTTAAATGAACATCTAATTTTCTTACACTTAAATCAGTCTGGAAAGCTCATCGTGTTTAATTTTTTTTTGCAGTATTCAAACAATTCTTCAAAAAGAAAAAAAAAGGTTTTCAGCCTTTTTTGACACACTCGAGGTCAACGTTGATCTTTCAAGAAGGGAAAACTCTCTAAACCTTCCTAAAGTTTTGAGAAAGAATGCGTTCAGAGGAACCATTAATCAGAGCGCTGTAGATTTGAAACCTCTTGAATGAGTTACTACCAACTAACGATGACTGTTTCAGTCACTAAAGCTGTACAAATAGGTATCAAACCGTTAGGGGGCAAAAAGTGTGATAGACTAGTACTTCTTCTAGTTGCAAGATTGCATTCTGTTTCCTTAATTTTTTCTGAAACTGAGATGAGTTCTGGACCTGTGGACCGCATGGGCATGTGAATACCAGTGACCCAAACAAACATGTGGCCCAGGAACAGCATAGGTTAGGTTTAAGAAAGGGTTTTAATTTCTTTCTCTTCCTAGAGCTGCAGTAGCATACTAATGTGTTAATGATGTAGATTTTCTTCTTTGTCTCCTAGCTGAACTTAGATTTCAATTAAAATTGAATAAGCGGATCCTTAGCTTGAAGCAAAAAGCATATCTAAAAGTCTGGGTAACACTGACACTGTGACACTAGCCTCAAGAATATAATCACTTTTTGAACATTAAAGAGAATATTGGATTTAAATTCTGAAAATGTCAAGCTTTTAATCACGAATGAAGCAGTTCCTTCCCAGCTAGCTAAGACAGTGGGAGTACACGCTAAGACCAAAGCACAGAAGACATGCACAGTACTGACTCTTAAACACCTTCAGCTGAATATAACCCTGAAAGCCTAGGCATCCTAATATTATATTGTAACAAAGATAAAACTTTAAAATAGAGGTTACAGTACTCCTAGTTCTCATTTAAAGGACAATTTAGGAAGAAGATGAAAATATTTTCCTCAATCTAATTACCCTTACCCCAAAGTTAAAACAAAGGCTGGCCAAATTTGAAGGAGCAAAAAAAAATGCACACATTTATTAAAAGCAATTCAATGACTCAAAACCCAAACAGACAATATGGTCAAACAAAAAATCTCATCAATTAAAAAGAATACATAAAACAATTGGTAAGCAGCAAACTGACATTTTTGTAGTGATAATTAAATTAAATTATTTTTGCTTTTGAGAAGATGCCCAGTGAAATAATTTTGTTGAGAATAAATGCTACACTCACACTCCCGACAACAGCTGAGAAAAGTGTTTTGCACAATTCCAGTGAGGATAACTAATGTCAAACAGGATCTGTGCTGCATATTAAATCTGATGTGTGCCGAAGATGGCACATGTACTGTGTTCACTTTAATATTGTTCAGTGTGCTGCTTTTGACAACTGATGTTTCAAAAGGAAGACTTTGCATGCATGCACAGAGGAAGAACAGGGTTAGACAGCAGAGCATGCAACCCAACATGGTATCATGCACAAAATGCGCAAGGGAAACCGTTCAGGAAAAACCCAAACCTTTTCTGAACAAAACAGGCATGTTAAAATGTGGGAATTATGAAAAATGAAGTAATGAGATGCAAATCAGCCCATGAATTCAAATGACAATAGGAAATCTTGGTTATCTATGTGTAATGCATTTATATGATATTTGGCTTGGCAAGCAATTGATTGCTTTTTTAATATTTGTATTTAAATAAAAAGGCATATTGCAGAGCCAAAAACATTGATAATCTGCTAAAATGTGGACTTGCTGGACACATTTACAGTACATTCACTAAAACGTTTTTTTTCTGTGTTATTTTACCATTCCTGGCAAATGTTTCTGTCCTGTTTGACCCATTTTCTTTATCAATAGGACAGGCACATCCTTGCAAACAATTTTTAATTTTAAAAAGCGGGACATTTTCAGTTTTAAAAAAAACTATTAAAAAATCATTACTTGAGCCTGCGTTTCTGTAATTTCCTGAAAATAATATGGATAAAGATGATATTTTGCTGAATGTATCTATTCTGTAAATTGATGTGAAGCAGCAAAGGTATTCATTCTGGATGAATACAAAACAGTTCTGCCTTTTTAACCTTGTCACACATACTGTTGTGTTAAGACAAAATACCTAATACTGTGCAGAAATGAGGAACAGTATGTTTTAAAGATCTGAAATATACGTTTTCAGAGTGATGTGTTAATATCCATGAAGATATCTGCTCAACCCTTTAATAGCTTGTGAGAAGAAAAAAAAAATCTATGTCATGACAAAGTCACCCCTCACCCTTCTAAACCATTGTTAAACTACTGTAACAGAGAAATGCAGCACTGAAATAGTCAAGCTTTGCAGGTTAGAGGAACATACTGTATAGTAGATACGAACTAAAAGCCAAGTTCAGAGAGTTAGTTTGTGAAGCATACCGCAAATTTGTAATTTAATAAAAACCTCTAAATACGTCATCTTTTTTTTACTCTCCAAGTGAATCCATATCATCAGTCGATAGTAGGAGGACTAGATCCTGTAAAATGAAAAGGATTAGTTTTGTTTATGCTTTGTCTTTCTTTCTTAACAAGAAACATGTAAAATACAATAAAAAGGTGTTTTCCTAAGTTAAAAAAAGCTAAAAAGTAGTTTGTCAAATCTGCACTTACCTTTAGGCATTAACTTTCTACAATTCCTTTCTGTTACTTCAATAATTATATACCTGAAAGTTACTTAACATTATTTCCAGGTTACAATGGCTGTTAACCCAAATAACTTATTTTTCCCAAATGGCAACTTCTTGACAAACAGCCCATTTAATTAATTTATTTGCCCCACCCACTGTTTTCTCTACAGGGAAAATAAGAACCTGAGTGTCTGTATTGGTGGTTTAGTACACAAAGAGTTAGTCCCACAAAGTAAAAAGTGAATAACTACAATGAAATTGGTAAGTTCGCTCTGGTTTCAACAGATCTTATTATTCATTACTAGATTGTCTGTGTGTAAAAAAAAGATGAAATACAGCCAGAAACCGACTGTTTTGTGAAAGCTGTTGAATTATCACACAGCAGATAAGCAGAACGCCATCTGAAATCCTTTTTTTAGTGCTTCAGTAACAATGGAAACAGAGGAACATATCAATGCTTGACTCAATATGTATCCTTCCCCGAGCATAAAATGATTGCAAATGGAAAAACAAAACAAAAAATTAGAAAAAGTTGAAAACGTAAAAGCAAAAAGGTACAACTAGCAATGTCAAGAAGTGCTATGTGAAAGAATGGATTGTGTGTAATTTTGATTAATAAGACTTTTAAGGTCTTAAAGCAAGGAAATGTGTAGGTTTCTTCTTTCTCCCAATGTTTACTAGTGGCAATTAATAGCAAATCAAGATTTGTGCTTTTATGGATAATCACACATTGAAATTGTCAGCGAGTGGCATTTTTCAGTAATTATGTAACACATGCTCATGTTGCAATAATAATGAGAGCCTTATGCCCAGTTCTCCCACATTAGTGCACTCTTTACTAATCCATGAATGGCGGTAGTCTGTGCATTGCTGAAGTGTTGGGGGGAATCAGGCATATCATCCTGAGTATTCCCTTGACTCAACTGCATATGAGTGCCTCTGAAGAGCCCCAAAACACCCCTGTCGATGACTAAAACTTAGCAATGGTACTGTCTACAGCTCTTTGTCTCCCACTCATCTACTGCTGAACACAAAAGAACTAAATGCTGTGGGGTTCTATGTAGGCAGCACTGCATGACTCATTATATGTCCTACTACTCTTTCCTGCCCTAAGTGTCTGGGCTCATAGCTCAGAGACCTTTGTTTCAAACATTATATGGTATTTTATTTTATTTTGGGCAATGTAAAATTATGGTGCCTATCTGCAGGTTTTTCTTTTAAAAAATATCCTTCCATCAGACAGAAACAGCCGGATATTTTCCAAAACAAAGACTAGAATTATCCTGAAAACTCAAAGCTAAACCCTGGAAATAACAACCCTGTTTGTACAGTACCTTTGATTCTAATATGATTAAACTGGCAGCAAACATATTTGCAAGACAGTTAGTCAGTGGTGGTGCTTTAGGCATTTTTTCTTGTTGCTAGGTTACCTATTGGGATGACTAAAATGGAATCTGTGAGGATAACTGCACAGCTATGTTTCTGTTACAGCTTAAGTGGTAGTATCTAAATGTTCATCTCTAAACTGTAAGAAAAGAATTCCTCAGAGCATGATATATTTTTTTCAGCACAAATACAAGCTAACTGATTTTGTGGAACACAAACCATATATTTTTTTTAAAAAGATCATGCCTTCAACTCAAAGTCATACAATACTTTTGGTATATTCTTTGTTATATCTACTTAACTTGCTAAGCAATTCTTTGACCCATTTTCTGGAGTACATGAGAAAACTGTTGGTAAAGTTCCTCCATAAAGAAGCATACTACAAGCACTAAGCTGTGAGGAAAGAAGTAATTAAAATTTCCACTTTCTTTTAATCATGTGCTTACAAATGAGCACTAATGGAAAGACTCCCATAAAGTGTAGGAAATCACATAAAACTCTCCTTCCATTAAATTAAGGAAATTGATTTGAATATTAACCTTGACAAAATAAGATAGTGAACGATTCAGTGTGTTCAGTGCATACTGTAGTTCAAATTCATGACTTTGAATGACTTTAATTGCTTTTTTCCTAGGGCTAGGGCCAGTAAGCTACCACTCAAATGAATCACACAGTTGATTAATGTGCAGCTAAGAGTTTTGCTCTAAATCTATACCGTACGGCAAAAGAGATTGCTCCTGGAGAAAGAGAAGGACAAGATGTTTCAAACTGCTAAAGCTTGGGGCTTTGAAAGCATTAAAGCTACTCTGTTAAGAGGAAAATGTACAGAGTCTGACATTGAAATAGTTTTCAGCAACTATAGTTAAACTAAAATGAAACAACGTGCCAGTCTATGTTCCAAGCAATACCTATACCTCATTTACACTTATGTCTAATGGACAATCATTAGGCATCAATTATTTTTATATCCAGCTTGATTATTAAATATCCACTACAGGTGAGGTTCCTACTGTTTTACCTCTACAGTATTTAGGCCTTTCTTTGGTTTTTCAATTTAAACTTTTGTTTCTTCATGCAAAGACATAAATGTCTTCTTGTACTATTGTTTTCCATGTGTGGAACATGAATATCACAAAAGTTTTTTTTGTTGGCAAGACACATTTTCTAGTCTTTAACTTGTAAGAATTGAGCCACTTAATCTAGTGCTCTCAGTGAAAAAGATAAGTGCATGGCTAAAAGGCAGAACAAATTTTACCCCTCTACAGTTATTTACATGTAAATATTATAAGGTTTTCCTCTGTTGGACTGCATTTCCACATGGATGTTCTCAAATTCCCTTCATAAAAATCCAAAAAATAGAGCTACAATACATTTTGCAAAAGGTTTGCTTTATATTTACTCATACTTACAACTCAGACTCTTGACACAAACACAGTATTTGTGTGATACAGTTCTCATAGGAAAGGCAGCTCAAGTGTATGGTTCAATAAATGTCCAGGATTTATAAATGACACACCCTTCCAGTACACTGCCTTCATCTAGGGCATCTGTACAATTCTCAGTCTTCTTAATTCTACCTCCTGGTATTCAATCTATTCTGTCATTTCTGGGGGCCTGGGGGGAACTATAAATGACTATTACACTAAAAAGACTAGAATAATAAAATACTGTATGTACAGTATCTAGCTCAGACAATTGCTAACAACAAACCTTGATTGCACCCTAAGCCAGAGCATACCCTTTTTTATGAAGTGATACCTTCATGTGGAATTGTGTTCAGGTGTATTAAAAAAATCATTTGAAGCACTCTGACTGTAGATTCTGTGCTGAGAATTAGCACCAGGGATTGTGGCATTACCAGGGTCAAGCAGGGTTCGAATGAGAATTTGTATCTATGAATACATAGGAACAACACACATTGAGTTCATTTGTAAGTGTGGACAGAGGGTAGCATTAGAATATAGCTGGAGCAAAATTAAGGTACAAATGGAAAAACAATAAAACTCTACAAATATAAGCAGAGAGGTTCTCCAAGATAGAATTCAGTCTCTTACCCTATGCTTTCGTAGGCTTCCAGGGCTAGTTGGTGAAGGGCTGGGGGACTTTCCAGACCGCGGGGTTGACAGCTGACTGCCAGGAGTCCCATTGACTGAAAAAAGCAATTTAAACAAACTGCATTATTATTTCCTTGAATGGCTTCAGTTTCTACCCACTCTCCTCACCTCCTAAGGTAGTAATTTTAATCTTGAAAGGAACACCCCCACACTCTTCTCTTACTCCTTACCAGACAGCTTTCAACCTCTCCGCAAACCCTAGTGAAACAAAATCTTTTAATTCTAAGCATTAACTACAGCAGTAAGAAGGGCAACCGAGAAAAGATAATCACAGAAAATGTTAAATGCAACGAATGCTTTTCTGTCTCTGTTAAGGTCAGATGAAGCTTACGATCTCCAGTGAAGACGGTAGCTGGGATTGTCTTGTAACAATTAGAAAGAATTTATCAAATAAAAATGAAAAAAAAAATCAATTTCATAACTAACAGGCCCTATAATCTCAAAATCAAATTCAGAACAAGGGAAAAAAAGATCAACTTTATTCCAGTATTTGAACGAAAGGCTGAAAAATCTGAAAGAAAAAAACATGCAAAACACATCCTTCAAATTACAGTAGGCAGATCAGAAATATTTACTCAGAGATTTTCCATAATTAAAAACTCCAGTCTTCAAAAATTTACAGTTTTTCAAATACAGCCATCATTTGACAATGTCTTTGAAAGTTCTTGACTTTTGAAGATAAAAGTCAAAGGGATAAAACTGAAGACTAACAGAAACTTGACTTAGGTTTAATGACAATCTTTACCAATATCTTGATTTTCATAACTCCCATAGCAAAATACGACCCCAACTAGGCACAACGCACCCTGATAAATTTGATGATCACACACTAAACATTCAGCAACTCCTAAGCACAGCTCACGCAGCTTGACTGTAAATTTATATAACACCCTCATACTAAATATTCACCAAATCCAAAGAACTTGCTGGACCTGATAAATGTACCCACTGCACACTAAACATTCACCAAATCCTAAGCAGAGTCCCTGGAAAACCTACATTTTAAAATGCAGAAAGATACATTTGCCTTAAGAAGCAGCACTGCTTTAGCACTGCTTTTAATCTTTGCTAAGTAAGGACTGGATCAAACATTAAAACCAGTTTGCAGCTGGGAATCAAGTCACATAACATGAAAGGTTTTGAAAGCGATTTCTTACCTTCTATGTACTGGAGCATGTGGGCAGAAAAAATAGAGTACCACACAATTCCTGACTAATGTGCTGCTTCTCTCAAAGATCCACACTTTACTAGCACAGAAAACTGAATTGGGAGGGAGAAGAGCTGCCAGCAGTAAGTAGTAAACGGCAGTGAGATTTCATAGGCGGATGCCTCTCCTGCGTATGTTTGACGTGAACCGAACAACAGTGGGAGGTGCAGGCGCAGTCTTTGGGCTACATCAAAGGTGTCAATTAAATGCAACATAGCTAACAGGGATTACCGTGCAACGCAGCCCCCATTCCAATTAGAGGAAACAAAGAACATGGAATTACTTTACAAGCATAAAATGTGATTCAAAAACCAAGCTGCCATCAGGGACCATATGATTCAGCACCCCATAACGGTATTACGAAGAACTGGACAACAAACAGCAAAGTGAGAAGGAAAATCAAATAAAAAAAGTACTATTCAATTAAACTGTTTAGGTCATGAAAACATTCAGGGTCTTTGCCCTCTCCAAATGTTATTTTTCTAATATTTCTCATGGCTTGGCTGAAGAGGCAATTGTTTTGTTCTGTATGTTGTAGCTTGGGTATCTTGTTCACTGGTTTCACAAACCTAGAAAAACTAAAACACAAGTTGCTACAATTGTCACTATATAAATAAGGTGTGGAGATGTGAAATATGGCATGGAAGATTTCATTTATTGTCCCCAGAATAAAATGACATCTTCAAGCTGTCTTTTTGCAAGTGTATATGCCCAATGAAATTGGCCTGTGGTTCCTCAACAGCTCATTTAGCTGATGAGTCTTTCATGGGGCCCGCACAGCGGGAGTCAGCTTTGATACTGTTACAGCAGTGAATATCTGGGTTTTCAATACAGAATATGTCCATTATACGCCACATATACCATGCATCAATAAAACCAAAATGGTGTTTCCTGAGATCCAATAGTTCTGATTTTCACTGCAAATGTCTCCCGTCGCCAGATTGTGAGAGCAGTTCATACTGTATATTTTAAAAATGTGATGGAAAAATGTGTATGTCAATGTCCTGTCTGTCCTGCCAGTAATTGCACAGCGGACAAAGAGGGATGATATTTCGTTCCACTGTATACTTGTATATGGCTGGAATGACAAATAAACATGAACTTGAAAAGGATAAGGAAAGCAGGATTAATCATTCACAAAGGGATCCTTTTAACAGGGCACAGCTGTCTTTTTGAGCAGCCTGGGAAAATATCAGTACAACATTGTTCATGATTATTGTTGACTGTGCTGACCAATGAAGTGAATGTTATGCCAAATACCAGTGCAGATGAGGAACCTATGAAAGTGCAGACTTCCCTTTGCTGCTTGATTTAATTTTTTAAACTAGACCATGCGTATTGGCTTAGAGGTTTCCAAATGAATTATGCATCTTCGTGCCATCTGTGCCACCCTTTAATTTTAGTCAGTGATGCATCGTAGAAAGAGCAAAACTCGCGCCATAGCCCTATTTTTGGAGGAAGAAAGCACATTCTTATGACGAAACTGTTTTACTGTGATATTTAGAAGTTCTTCTGAATGGACTGAGGCAATGTAGGGAGGCATCGTATAGAAAAATGAGGAAAAAATAATAAAAATAATTGAAGATGATTTGGCCCAGTGTCAGGTGGGAAGACAACGAATGATTGTAGGCATTGATATAATGCTTTTTATCCCACAGGATCCTTAAGTGATTGTTTTACGTACACAATGGGGGGCATCAGGTAGAGAAGTGAGAAACTGCAACACTGATTGAATTCTGGGGAAATGATACTATACGCAGGGCAGACTGAACAAGACCAGAATGGATTAAGCAAAGACATCATTACACCCCCATAAGCAGTGCCAATGGATCCTTATGACTAAGCAGTTAAGACCTTGGTTTAAAGTCTCATCCAAAGCACTGTGCCTCCTACAGCTTAGTGTGCCCCAGCAGCATACTGAGATATCAGTCTGAGATTTCTCGTCCAGAGGGAGCAAAGGAGTGGGTAGTGACCCACGTGCAAGGAGTTTAATGAGTTACAGCCAGTTTTCTAAACATGTCATATCAGGAGAAAAAACTTGCCATAGTTTTCACCTACATACAGTAAATACATTGATTTGAGTTTTCTTGCATCTACTTTATGTGTTCACCTAACATCAATGGTGCACCAGCAAGAAGCAGAGACTGAAAAAAGAATCTGACAGAGAAAAAAAAAACAATCTGACGATTAAAGAAATGACAGAATAAGCAACCTGACAATTATTTTGGACCAAGAGTAACATGAAAATAAAAATGAGATATGCAGTATGATAGAATATACAAAAGATATCTGTTGCAAAAAATGTGACTTTACCAACAGTTAAGAAAAATGGAAGTGGGAGACATACTAATTCAAAGGTTAATCTTAATGCTGTGTTTTTACATTCAGGAAATATTTTATTTTTAGAGCAAAGAATATCAAGATAATGTCTACAGTCATGGCTTCTAAGTGCAGTTTATTGTGTCTTTTGACTTGTAGATTTTGTCCTGATTACTATGATCTCTGTTATCTAGTTGATAGATGGCTTAAATGACCAAACTGTTGATTCAGCTGCTCACAACTGTAATAATAAAAATATTAAAAATAATAAAAATGATCATTATGTTTTACATAACCCAAGCTATTTTAAACATACAATTAATCCTTGTAATAAAACCTACAACAAATCTACTGTTCAAAGCTGACACAGGGACAGAGAAGCAACATCTGCTCAATAATAGTAGAATCTGAATGGAATTTCACTGTTTTTACACTTTTGTGTTAATGGCTACATGACAATACATGCTACATATACAGACCTTTCCAAAATGTGGCAAAAACTCAAAGCATTTAGGAAAAGCTGTACAGCTGTGGTGGGTGAGAAACTTAGTGGAACGGCGGATTTAAAAATAGTGGGTAAGAGTGATGTCAATCATGTCACTTTAATCAACTGTGGCCTCGCCGACCTTTGCTGAATGTCTCATTACTAAAACGAGGCACTTTGTTCTTACGGTTCGATAATTAGTTTTGTGTTTAATATTGAACAGAGAACACAAATTTGTTTCTTGGTCAGCAGAGGCAATGTGTGCCTTAATTAAAAGCAATGTCAGCAAACACCACTGATGGATTCCAGCAAGGAGAAAGAAAATTCAGGCTGTAATGGTAGTTGCACTTATATGATTCAGTTACAGTGATGTACAGCTTTTAGGATTATTACAGCATACTATATAGTAATATACAGTACAGTAATAATCACTAAGTAGTTCTATAACAAAACTGACAACATATCAGGGGGAGGAAAAGGTAGTAAGAAACTAGTACCAAGATGGCTAAACATCATGCTACCATCACAATCATACAGGTACAGTATCCATCTTTACTGACATACCATATGTAGCAACCCTTCAAACTTCAAAAAATTAAAAAGAACAAAAGTGGAACTTCCTGTATACAAGTGTCTGATGCAGTCTCTGCCTCCGTCTAGCACAGGGAGAAAGACAGATGGTTCTCATCACAGGACTCGGGGAACTTTAGCTTATCTTGAACTATGAAACAACAGAGTGACGCACACAAGGAGGCGAAATCTGTTCCCCCAGGTCAGTCTCAACTCCTAATCAAAACTACATCATTTTAAAGACTGAATTTAGAAATTGTTGATGAACAGTTCACTTACTGTATATATTTAACTGTTACTTGAGACTGAAGGATCAAAACAGTAGCAGACTTTTATTTCCCACATACAATACACAGTATTTGAATGCTCTAATGACAGGACTTCAAAGTAAAATGTATTACAGCCTTAGCTTCTTAATGAAATATGTAAAATAAATAGTTTCCCTCCTATTGTTA